GTTTTAAAAATATCTTAAATCTATTGGCCTAAACAACCAAGATAAAATGAATCTAATTTACATACTTTCCACTACTATATAAGTTAATAAAGCGTTTCTTAGCAACATGAGGATGACACACAAGATATTCATTGTGCTTCTCTTTATTAGTAGCATAATTTAATCCCTCAATCTTTCCTAATACTTCGTCCGAAACATACCAAAAATGAATATCATTTACGGATCCGTTTAAAATAGTCTCTTTTTTGAAAGCCTCTAATCTTATTTTAAAACTTAACACAGTCCCACAATTCTTGACATCCGAGGGGAGTTTGTTCCAATATGGTCTCACCCTCTCCGGAAGAAAAGAACTGTGGACTTTCTTCATTTTACTGCTACTTTTACTGCATCTACTGTTTGATACCACATTAAGACCAGATCTGCTCATACTGAACAAACCAGCTCCGTAATTGGCCAAACCACTTATCATTTTAAAAGATTCAATGAGGTCCCCACGTATTCGCCGCTCTGCCAGCGTTGTCAAATTGAGGATTTCCAGTCGACGACTGTATGGAAGAGTACCCACCTCGTCAATCAGACGGGTAAACCGCCTCTGGACGCTCTCCAGCTCCAAGATGATCCCCCAACTTCCATGAGCCGCAACTGGACTCCACAATTGAACACAATACTCTAAATGGGGTCTTATTAAAGCTTTGTAAATGGATATCATCACAGATTTTTCCCTGATAATCAGATTTCTAACAATCCAACATATCATTCTGTTGGCTTTAGATATTGAAGCCTTAATCTGTTCATTCCAAAGCAGAGAGTTATGGGTTATAACTCCCAAGTCTTTTTCCTGTACAGATTCTGCCAATGTAACTCCATTAAGAGAATAACTTGATCTTGGGTTATCGTTAACATCTAAATGCATTACTGAACACTTAGTAGGATTAAACTTTAAAAGCCATTTACTCTCCCACATCTCTAGTTCGTTCAGATCATTAGCTATAGTTTCATGCTCGGAGGCATTAGCTATAAGCTTAAGATCATCAGCAAATATTTTAACTTTACTTTTAATGTTATCTGGTAAATCATTAATAAATAACACAAATAGTAATGGTCCAAGGACTGATCCCTGGGGAACTCCTGACCATACAATCTTCCACTCTGAAGTTTCACCTTCTACACACACTCTCATAGTTCTATTTGAGATAAAATCTGTAATTACTTCTAAAACTTTACCAGTTATCCCTAGACTCTCTAGCTTGTTAATCAAGCGATAATGGGGAACAGAATCGAAAGCTTTACTAAAATCAAAATAAAATAAGTCCACAGGAGCACCTTCATCTATTAAATTAAGTATAGTGTCGAAAGTCTCCAAAAGATTTGACAAACAAGATTTTCCTTTAACAAACCCATGTTGGTCCTTTGAAATACGGTCTTCTAAAAATTCTAACACATGGGATCTAACAAACTGTTCATAAACTTTACAAAGAATACAAGTAAGAGAAACTGGTCTATAGTTAAGAGGGTCAGACTTAGAGCCCTTTTAAAAAGTGCAACTACAGATGCCGACTTCCATACCTCCGGAAGATTTCCAGTATCACTACAGGCACTAAATAATTTAGTAAGAGCTGTTACAAAACTAGCATCTCCAGCTAGGGACTTAAGCAGCTTTGGATGATGCCCATCTGGGCCAGTGCTTTTAAAAATATTAAGCTTTAATAGTTCCTTTTTAACATTATCAAAGGTAATAACAATATCAGATATACTATTAGTATTCTTACTATAACTTCTAGGTAATGGGCCGAGTGGCTCATTAACAAACACAGAACTAAAGGCACTTGCAAGTACCTCTGCAGACTCCCCTGCACTAGTTGTCCTTGTACCGTCTTCCTTATCTAAACTTGGTACCGAAGCTTTAACCTTTCTCTTATTTCTCAAATAAGAATAAAATGATTTACAATTGATCTTTAAATTAGAAGTTATCTTCTTCTCATATCTTATCTTTGCTTTCACTTCCTCGTTCTCATAGATGAGCTGTTTACTACTTGCATGACTAAGATTAACACTAGAAGGTTCAATATCAAATGCAGTCCATGCTTTATCTTTGTTCTTTCTCATGCGCTTCAATGAGGATGTGTCCCATGGCAGCTTCACAGGTCTGTTGTTTTTATAGACCGAATTAGTCGGTACTATCCCAGCAACAGTCGTAAGTTCGCCATGTAACTCATCCCACATAAGCTGAACATCATTAGAGCAACTAAAATCCCAGTTAATATTTTCAATACTAAACTTTAAAATATCATCATTAGTTATTTTACCCCATGATGGTTTCAGAATCTTCTCTTTACATTTAATTGAATCTACAGAAACACTTAGATCGACTACCACACTGACATGATCACTTTTGCCAATCGGGGACAGCACTGTGCATTTATTAATAAGTGCATCATTGGTGGAAAGTACTTGATCCAGCAGACTCTCTTGGAGTCTATCCTTTACAACCCTCCGCCTTGTTATTTCAGTAGTAAAATACCAGGACAACCCTGCTTCGTTAAACATATCAATATAGATTTCTTGATTCAAGAATGACTTATTAGTGCTGACCAAACCTCCATTTACACAACCAGTCTCCCAAGAGACATCTGGTAAATTAAAGTCTCCTACCAGGAGTGTTTCAAAATCATTATTAACATTACAAATATTTTTAAGAAAAGAAATTAATTTTAAATTTTGGTCAGAATTTAAAGATGGTGATCTATAAATACATCCAATACAAAGTTTACCACTTGCAGTATCTATTAACACAGCTAAAGAATCAAGTGCATTACAACTTTCTTTTACTAATTATGAATTAATATAATTCTTAACATAAATGATGGACCCTCCTCCAGAACTAATATCCTTTTTAGAAGATTCAATTTTAAAGTCACGGTCTTTTCTAAAAATTGTGTAACCGTCAATTTGAACTTCAGCATCTAAAATATCATTATCAAAATGTGTCTCTGTGACACATATAATATCAATGTTCTTGTTTAGCATCAATAAACATTTTACTTCATCTATTTTGTTAAAGAATCCACTAGCATTAGTATACAATATGCTTATTCCTTTGCAACTGTAGCTTCCTTCTCTTCGATCTTCTGACTCTTCTCTGTGTTCTTCTGCTTTTTCCTCTTCTCTGCTTCCTCCCGTGCTTGAAAATTTGCCTTACGGTCAGCTCTGCACAAATCTTCGTTTATCCAATGACCACTCTTTGACCGGATTCCTCTCCCTCCATTCGTGTAGTACTTTACATCTTCTATGTCATAGAGTTTGACAATAAGGGGCCTGCAGTACTCTGGTATGTCTTTATTGACTCTGCCAGCTCTAAAGCAGGACACAATGTCTCCCTTTTCCATCTCAAGTGAGTTGATGCAAAAGTCGATGTCTTCTTTTTCACGATCTTTGACACTGTTTTTGGTGCTTTCCGGTACCTTCAGGATGCAAACATTTTTCTTCTTTCTTTCTCTCTCCACCCTATCTGCATCAATGTTACGTTGTACCTGCTGGACAACTTCTTTGGTTGTTTCTGAACTTCTGAGATTTTTCAGAACAGTTTGTTGAGACTTAGCTGTAATATCTGAATAGAGACTAACAGCTTTTTTCACACTTTTGTCCGTGCTGTTGTTTAGAACTGTTTTTAAGGAGTTCGCTAAAGCTGGTGTGAACTTCTGGAGCTCTTCTTTGACAATAGCCCTGACAGCTCTCTGGTCATCAGTGTCCTTAACTGTGTGGGGTGCCACAAAGCAAATGGGACACTTCCAGTTAGTCAGATGTCCTAACATATCATCTGTCAACCCAGACAGGCCAACACAACTTGAATGCCAGAACAACTTACAGGCTTCACATTCCACAGATAACTCATCAGCCATAAAGATTTCACATGGGCAGTATTTTTCTTCTGCAGCAGGCGCAGAAACATCCTCAGCTGTTGACTTAGCTTTTGAGGGGCTTATCTTTACTTGTCGTTTCTTCTTTAGCGTCGGCGCCCTCTCGGGTACATTTTTTTCTTCCATCCCTGAACTCAAATTATTTGTTATATAGTAGTGTTGAAAGTATTAGATTTGTTTATGCAAATTTAGATATTTTACTGTACTATTTTATGTTGTATACTAGTGTAACCCGGCCTTCGGCCGGGATTTCACTGCCGCAGTTCCCTCACGTATCCAATAGTATCTGTACCACGACTATTACACCTCATCACTCCCGTCTTAAACCGCTTTAAATCGTTTTAGAAATTAACCCTTATTAACTCCGCACCACACCCGCCTTATATTTGAAAACATGCATTACATTGTCGTATGAAAGTAAACAAACCGACCGCAATGAGTGCCTCCCCCCCCCCCCCCCCCCCCCCTATTATGCATAAACATTGTCGTATGAAAGTATGAACTCTCTCTACAGTTTAAACAGACCACAATCAGTGCCCAAGTACACTCCTAATATCACTTGAGGAGCTAACCTAATTACCAACGCTACAAAGAGAGCGAATAGGAAGAAAAAGTGAGCCATTTTAGTGGCTCACTCCATAATGTTGCATTATTAGTACAAAACCATCAATTAAGCCACTTACCACCGGCCGATTTTTATAAAATTTGCTTATTGGCTTCGTCAGAGTTTTGTCGGCACTATACCGAAAAAACCAGTCCCGTAACTCTTACCGTTTTTTTGTATAACCGTTCAGAAATTTCAAACATACACACACACACACACGAATTTCTTGGTATTATTAAGGTGATAATTTTACGGACGAAATGATCCCAGGGGGGACTCCCAACCCACCGCTTCAGCGGGTAGTTGACGCACCTTTCACAAGCAAGACCCACTTTGGTCTACTTGCTGTGAGGTGTCTCAGCTACATGGGTTGGGGGTCCCCCCTTTTTATATTTTATTCATGAGTGTCAGTGTAACTTAAACACAAGAGCATCTATGGTGTAGTAATTCTTGTTTACTGATAGAACATTTTTATGTTAGGTCTCATGTTCTGTCTGAGGTCCTTATCGTCTATTCGTACATCCCAACATCAATTTCAAAAGGTCAGTTGTTGCGTTTGTAATGATTGTACTAATTTTTGATCTAAAAAAAAATAGCGAACAGTAATTAGTCTGGAACAGAAATTTTGTACAACATCTGATAAGTGCAGAGGAATATTTAAGCTGAAAGATTGCTTTATGCTCTATATGATAAACGTACGAAATCTGGTCAGTAGGTCATTTTTCCCATATTCACATAACTAAAGTAGCTTTACAATAATTTGTATGTACTACATAGGTGGTGTGCTTCAGTATGTGGGAGTCAGCTCATTTGGAAATGGGTTCTGAAAAACCTGCTAAAGAAGATGACACTAAACTTCAGCTTTACAATATGCGATTCTGTCCATTTGCAGAGAGAACAGTACTCGTTCTGCTTGCAAAGAATCTTACTTTCGAGAATATAAACATAAATTTGAAGAAAAAACCGGATTGGTTTCTTGACTCGACTCTAGGGAAAGTACCAGTTATCCTACACAAGGGAAAAATAATACCAGAGTCATTGATAACCTGCGATTATTTAGATGAGGTGATTATGTTCTGTTTCCTTCACCTTGTGATATGAATCATACATGAGCTTCAAGTACATTCTTTTCTAGATTTTTGGCCATTTTGAATTACAAATATGATTTTTTACTTCGACATCAATGCATAGTTATAATCAATTGCAACCTATTGATTATAACTATTTTAAATTCTTGCTTCAGATTTATCCCGAACCAAAGCTCCATCCTTCTGATCCTCTACAAAAAGCACTAGACAAGGTTGTTGTTGAAAAGCAGAGTGAAGTGATGAAATATCTCTATCCTATCTTTGCAAGGATTCCTGGTCGTGTTGTTACTGTTGAAGAGAAGTCAGAGTTATTTGGCAAAGCTGTGGATCATTTGAAAAGTTTTGAAGAAGAGCTCAAAACAAGAGCAACAAATTTTCTGGGTGGAGATCAGCCTTGCATGGCTGATTACATGCTTTGGCCTACTTTTGAGCGCATTGAGGGCTTTCCAATTCTTATGGGAGAAATGGGGCATAACTTTGTTCTTCCCTCCCATCTCAAGCATGTTCATTTATGGATTAAGGCAATGAGAAGTACAGAACCTGTTAAAGCCTACGCATTCTCCCCAGCCCGCATGGCAAAATTGACACAGATATATGTAGAAACAGATGGTTACGATAATGCTTTAAAAGAATCAGCAGGACTTTAAGAATTTTCTAGCATATTTTATTGTGATTTGTTTTATTCTATGTTTTATTGCACAAGATGTGAACTGATTTAAATTCAATTGGATTGTGTGCATCTGGATTCTGGATTGTTTTGTAAAACACACTATGTGGCCTAATACAAGAGAATAATATTGGGCTGTTAAATTAAACATTTTTAAAGTTTTGATAAATTTGATTGATAATATTATTAATAATGTACTTATGATTAAAGATCAATTTTAATTACATGTGAATCGTTGTTTACCATGAGTGTACAAAATCTGTTAAATAGTGTAGTCTTCTCCTCTTTATTTAAAACAAATAGCTTAGTATCTAGATCCGGTTTTTAATAATAAATTTGCTTACTATTCTTATATCATCATTCATCTATGGAGATATATATAGGTGTTGTGCTACAATATGTGGGAATCAACTCATCTAGAAATGGGATCTGAAAAACCGGCTAAAGAAGATGAAAGTAAACTCCAGCTTTACAATATGCGATTCTGTCCGTTTGCAGAGAGAACAGTACTTGTTATCCTTGCAAAGAATCTTACCTTTGAAAACATAAACATAAATTTGAAGAAAAAACCAGATTGGTTTCTTGACTCGACTCTAGGGAAAGTACCAGTTATCCTACACAAGGGAAAAATAATACCAGAATCATTGATAACGTGTGATTATTTAGATGAGGTGAATAAACTCATTTTTTTAATGATCTTTTTTTACTATTATATATACAAGCTTTGAGTACTTTTTCAAATTTCTATTAAAATGTTAAGTTACATTGACCAAATTTAGGTTTCAAAAAATTGACTTCAAACTTGAAGTCAACATTAATGCCATAGTAATTTAATTCTAACTTCAGATCTATCCTGAACCAAAGCTTCATCCCTCTGACCCCCTACAAAAAGCATTGGACAGGGTTGTTGTCGAAAAACAGAGCACAATGATGAAATATATCTATCCTATCTGTTTTAAGATCCCTGGTCGTGTGGTAACTGATGAAGAAAAGTCTGAGAATTTTAGCAATCTTGTGATCCATTTGAAAAGTTTTGAAGAAGAGCTCAAAACAAGAGCAACAAATTTTCTGGGTGGAGATCAGCCTTGCATGGCTGATTACATGCTTTGGCCTTATTTTGAGCGGATTGAGGCCATTCCAATTCTTATGGGAGAGAAGGGGCAGAACTTTGTTCTTCCCTCCAATCTCGAACATGTTCATTCATGGATCAAGGCAATGAGAACTACAGAACCTGTAAAAGCTTATGGATTCTCTCCAGCCCGAATGGCTAAACTGACACAGATAAACAATGAAACTGGTGGTTACGATAATGCTTTAAAAGAATCAGCAGGACTTTAGGAATCTTCTATCAGATTATCTGTATTGTGTATTTTTATTTTATAAGTAGATGTGGACTGATTCGTGTGTATCTGGATTCGGGATCTCCTTGTGTAAAAATACACTATTTGCAAAATTCAAGAGAATAAGATGCTAATCATGAATGAATTTTAAATGTTGATAAATCTTATGGATCATTATATATTATCAATCTCAATAACATGTGAATCGTTGTTTTGATAGCTAATTCTGTTCAATTAAATTAATTTATTGAGATATCTTATTATATAGTATAATAGTTGGCTCATGGATTCGTCAATCAATTGTCTCCATTCAAATAAATGTGTAAATGTATCTAATATCTAAACTGATTTCCTATAGGATGCAGCTAAAATTCCCTGAAACAGTCCAGAAGATAAACCTCCTGTACTACTCAATAATAGTGATAGTATTAGGAACTCCTCTGTGGTGGTACACTACGGACACTTACAGAGCTGCTCTGCCTCACTCTCAGATAACTGGGTTAACAGAGTATAAGACATTGTTCAGTATCCCTGTTGGTGTGTGTTTTGATCCGACAGGTGAGTGTTTATTGAAAGTCTGATTTCTTCGGCCGAACATAACCAAGTACCAACTTTCTCATTTTGAAAGACATGGTCATAAGTCTACTTTGATTGACGTGTACAATAAATGGTTTCTATAGATCATTTACCTTACAATTCATTTTACCGCTGGATATTTGTATGTTGAACGGTTATAAAATTTCATCGTGCTTCTTGACATGTTTAATACATCCCAAATATTTTTCAGAAGTTCAACATGGTCGAGTTGAACAGATAATCTTATCTCTAAAACCATTCCTCCTATCAAGAGCGTTCAATCAGGGTCGTGTCATATACGACATAGATTTGAGTATTGCTAAGAAATGTGGGGAGCAGTCGTTTTCTATATTGTTCACCAATGATGTGAGTTCATTTTTACCACATTTTATGTTTGTTGTAGCTGATTCCTGCTTTGTTACCATTTATATTGTGAAATTTTGCTGACAATTAGTATCCCATACTGCAGAAACGTGGTTTCTCATTTATCATAATTTCAACAATAACATTTCTGTAAAACGTGAATACCATCTCACCTTATTTGTGCATCCTTTCAGGTGGTTCGACCCTCCAAAGCTGAAATATCCCCCCAAGGTCTTAAGATCTCCTTTGATAAAATAGAGCGTATGATAGCTGATGTTGCTGAAGATATTCTCAATTATGTGGAACTGACTCAGCTACAGAACCATATCCTGGCTTTAGATGATCCAACTCTACATCCTATTCTTCAGGTTCTTCATTTACTGTTATAAAGTATAGACTTACCAAATGGAGTCTATCTATATTCTATACTCATAAATATTATGGTTTTAAGGTTTATCAAATAAGTAAAAATAATAGTAATATAGCTGTTATACCAATTTTGTCAGTCCTGAATGGCCATCCAACACAAAAACTTATTTCAAATGTCTCAGGACGTGCGTAATGCGATGGCAGTAGCCACCTCCTACAACATCCTAGTGAGTGTGGTAAACCCCGATCCTGCAGCTATAAAGCTAGACTACAACCTAGTGGAAGGAACAAAACAATACCTGGAGCCGTTCATTACAGAACTTGGTAGTATAGCAGAAGTCACGTACCAAACACAAGTTATGAGATATGTCAAGCTACCTCACAAGCCGGTTAAGAGTGGTGATGTGTATTTCATATCCGAGGTGAGTTAGATTGACTTGTTATTTATAATAAATAATATTCAGAATGTAAATTTTATGAGTATACTAAAAATGTGAAATGTGTTTCACTGATGACTCCAATCATTAGACCGTAAAAACAAATAAAAAATATAGATATTTTATTTGGAAACAAACACATTTTTGCCGCATAATTCATGAAAAAGGGCTTTTATCCAGTTCATGCCAATGTTGATTTGCAGAACTCATAACGCGAACGGCAGTTATGATTCATATCAAGGCAATATGCACCACCTCATTAAAAATATTTACAATATATTTCAGAACAACCTCCCCCACCTTATCAACCCGATTGAAAGTAAACTCGGAACCTCGACTACCAACGATATAAACCTTATAATCTACCTTATGGAAGGGAAGTACTCTCCTCTGGTTATCAAAACTAAGGATGGTGATATGAAGGAGCTGCCCTCTTTTCTTAGCCCCCAGTTTGGAGCTGTTCTTCTCTACGATACCAGGTTATTATCATAGCTAATATTAATTAGTTATTATAATATATATTAACAGTCAAGTTCTCATCAGTACATGGTCCGCTAGAATTAAGTTTAATCGAATTGAATGGTGACAGGTTTTTCGTAAACTTTGAATCGTTAAAACTTTAAAAAATCAAATTCCTGGCATCCACTTATAACGATATAACTATTTCAGTAACAAAACCACGATAGATCACTCCACAACATTTAACGTTCTGTTACCTCAACTTAAACAACTTTTGGGGCTAAAATCCACCAATTCTGCTGATATTTCACCGCAAGAGAAGTTCTTTATGGAATCTAGAGCAACTCTCACTCACATTTTGAAGTAAGTTGTTATTCCACTTTGAGCTAATTAGTCCGAGTTTCAATTATATAGTTTGATCGTTCCTTATGGACAATAAATTAAACATAAAAATAGCTAAATCTGTATACCCCAGGTCCATTGATACTCTGAATTCTCTGATAAGACTTGTGGACTCAATACCTAACATGGTCATTGGAGACCATATCGCTGTGAGTACTATTAATAGTACCAGTATAACAAGTACCACTGTTACTCACTGTTATTTACGATTTGCATTATCCTCCATAAGGACTGTTGTTCCGAACAAAAGATTCCGTAGAAAAGATTCTTGTTCGAGTATCAATATCAAGTTGATAAGTCAGCTATAAGTCTCTTTTACAAAATAACAAACTTCAGAATTCGGCCAGAACTCAAAAGTATTGCCAAAATTAACTATCAAGATTCAAAATATTTTTCCAAAATTGACTTTAAAACGTGCCCTTACATTTCAGGGACAAATTGCATCGTCCGTAGAAGGAATTAACAAAGCACAGACTGCACTGAGTGAAGGAAAACTATCAGAAGCTTTACATCAGGCCTCGTTAGCAAGAAATGCTGCAGAGAAATCATTCTCAGATCCCTCCATCCTCGCATTGCTCTACTTCCCGGATGACCAGAAGTTTGCTATCTACATTCCATTGTTTTTGCCTGTGGGACTTCCTTTGATAGTTGCGTATCTTGAAATATTGAAACGATGGAAGAAAAATAAAGATAAAACAGATTAGAATAGTATAGTTAAAGACAAATTATTAGATCACATTAAAGTTATTTATTGGTATCATAATATCAGTTCTAGCTTCAATTTAGCCAGAAATTTTGCTTTTGTTTTATCTTTTTCTTATGTTTGTATGATACGATAAATAGTTTCGCTGAGGTTTAGATTATGAATTTGACAATTATTTTATTTGAATTTTAATGTCAATTATAAAAGCTTTGTTTTCTATTATGGAGCGTTATCATGATAGAATATACACTTGAAAAATGAGTGGAGTTTTCTTGTCTTATTAGGATCGATACATTATAACTTTAAAGCACAGAAATTCAATATTTATTGTTTATGGTGCTACACAATTAGTGTATACATTTGCTCATGCATACATTTTTATTGAAGCGACTGTTTCAGTTTTATGGACAGTATTTTAAACTGTTTAAAAAGTACTTCATCCATAACCCAATACACACCAGATCTTGATGGAACATGGAAGCGCTGCTCAAAGCTGACAAGCTACTAAAACAGCACAAGCTAATAGAAGCAGTTGCGGAGTACTCCTCGACTATACGCAAACTCCAGACCTCAGGTCCAGAACAGCTCTTATCTTCAGCTTACAACAACAGAGGACAGTGTCATTACCTTCAAGTAGAGTTCTACAAGGCTATTGACGATTATACTGACTCTTTGAAGTACAATCCTAGCAACACGACCGCGCTGTACAACCGAGCTCAAGTTCAGTATCGTCTGAATTTCTTTTCTGAAGCTCGAAAAGATATCTTAAAAGCTTTAGAAATATCTCCAGATTTTAAAGACGCTGCAAGCTGTTTGGAAGCAATAGAGTATGCTGTCAGTAACAAAGCATGCCCTAAAGAAACCTGACTTCGCCCCTGTTTGTAAATCATTTGAGAAATCTCTAGCTGCTAACTACGAAGAATTTAAAGTGGAAGTGGTGGACTGCCCCGATCTAACAGCTGCTCCTTGGAAGTTAGCTCTTCCTGGACTGGGAGGTGAGCCCTGTGTTGCTGATGTGGGTGGGGTCCCCAATCTCATACCCACTCCCAACGTTGAGAAACAGTATAACCTGGACACTGTGGCTGAGCTGTGTGGCTTGTCTGATGGATATGTGATAGGAGCTAGTGCTGTGGCGAGCAAGCTTCTGGGTAAAAATGCAGAGCTTGTCAATAATGGTAAGACCGGTAAAGATGGGGTTGTTAAATCGATGTACACGAAAATAATTGATGATAAAGGAAATGATTATGAGTGTAAGGAATATCCACATAATGAGTTTGGATTACTGGGAAATTTATTTCTTTGTCGAGGACTGCCTGGTAAGGTGATCCACGTGACCGCCAAGATAAGGAAAGGCTCCTTAAACTTTATCAACTGTTTAAACAAGGGTCTGACAGAAGATTTCACTGACCCGGTAGCTGTGGGCGGAACATTCCTACTCACAAACGGAAAAGCAAAACTCCACGTCATGCCTGGATTCTCTTGTTCTCCTCTGCATACCGAGGATGACATTAACAACTGGTTGAGGTTCCACGAGATGTCGGGTCCTCTAACACATACCAGCGTGTTTGTCAGCAAGGACCCGGGACTGGATCTCCGACTGGAGCACAGTCACTGTTTTAGTGACCACGGTGATGGTGGTCATTACCATTTTGATACCACTCCTGATACTGTGTGTTATGAAGGGTATTTTAATTTGGCTGATAATATTTGTAGGATTGATCCGCCGGAAGTTACTCATTTGATCGGGAGAGATTGAAGATTGAATTGATTATCAAGACTTTTTATATAGTTTTATAGGCATGTTAATTACAGTCTATAATGTTATCACAATTGACAAATGACGTCACATCGGACTTGACCGTTTTGACTCTCTCTCTTTCATAAAGATTTACAAGTCAAGATCACTTTAATTACAGTCTATATTTATGGGTCAATAATTAATAACATTATACAGAACTTCTAATACATTTCATTACAACATAATTAGTTTAATTAATTTAAGAAATCTAGCTAAGTAACAACAATATTCAATGAAGATTCAGCTTTTGTCTGCAGTTTAATTGATACATTTGTTAACATTTATACCCCATCTAACCTTGCATCAGGCGATGTTGTCCCTTCTCTACCTACCTTCTCTCATCTTCAACATCGTATACAACTACCTCAACCCTCCACAAGATGAAGAACAACCCAAAAAGCAGAGTAACTGGTCTAAATATTCCTCACCTGAACCCAGTCCGCTTCCAGAGAGGGTAAAACCCGGCCTGGAGCCGAGAATAGAGAAGATAACGCCCGACCTGGAGCCGAGAATAGAGAAGATAACGCCCGACCTGGAGCCGAGAATAGAGAAGATAACACCCGACCTGGAACCGAGAATAGAGAAGATAACGTCCGACCTGGAACTGAATTCAGAGGAGATAAAACCCGACCTGAAACCGGAAAAAAGTGACGAGGCAATTCTTAGAGCAGAGTTTATTGAAGTTGAACAAGAGATTTCAACAGCTGTCGAAGCCAAGTCTCCTGATATCATCAATATCACGAAACAAGATGAATCACCTCAGCTATTGTCTGAAGATGTTCCCTCCTCACCACCAGTAGAAGATGAATTACCTTCAGCACCAGTGGCAGTAGAAGATGAAGTATCTCAGCTATTGTATTTAGATACCTCAGCTGAGAAGGAGGAGCAGCTCAGCTCAGCACTTCTAGATTCCACCTACACTCTGGACCCTCAAGATGAATCATATATTCCCAGCACTGTCTTCACAACCAAAGCCAAAGTTATAATAGCTCTATCTGAAAGTGATTCAGATGATGATGTTGTAAACGAGTTTCTCGCTGATGTTGTTTCAGTTGAACCCTCGACTGCCAAACAAGACATCCCTACCAGTGATTTTACAGCAGTTGATGCATTTTCTCTCCCTTCCAACCCTACTGAATACCAACCACAATACAACAAGGAAAATAATCATGTGATAATCGAAGACGATGTTGATGAAGATTTTCCTTCACCAAATATCTCTGTTCCCTTCATAACTCCGAATTCATTTGCCAATGTCTCCCTACCACCTCCCACAACAAGAAGTTCCGACGGTAGAAGTTCTAGTAGTCCTGATACTGAGCTGCCCAGCTATAATGGAGGCTTGGAGCACCTTGATAGATCAGCCACCAACACAACTGATGGTCATCCCTCGGAATCACCAACATTTGGAGAGCAAGATGTGCCTGGCAAGGCAGTTTCTTTTGAGGAGGAGGGTGTTGTTGGCAAGTCTTCAGTGTCTTCTGGTAACGGAGCTGCTGCAGTGAATGGAGGTGGTGATGATGGTGATATGTGGGGTGATGAACCTGTGGAGCCTACCTCTCTCACATCTCAGAAGCGTTAGTTTTAATGTTATTTCTCTTAATATTTCCATATTTTTTGGTTCGGTAATCTTTAGTATTAGTAAGGCGGATGTAGTTCCGGACGGTATCAGTCATTTTTTTCTGACATAAATATTCACCCTCAGATGGTGATATCAAGAAGTATGTTCCTAAAGAGAAACAGAAGAGGGTGCGGTCTGATCCCGAGTGGGTCCAGTACATGGAGAAATGTATGCTCGCAGGTAACAAGAATAAATAGATTAAATTATCAATTTTTATGACTGTATCTTACAATAATGTTAGTAATTGGAAATTCGAGTCGAACTTTAAAAATCAAATTAAAATGTCTGGACACAATGACTCACTACTTTTAACTTTAACAGGATCAAGAGGGAAGGTCCTGAACTCGTTCCGGCAGTGTTACAGAGAAGCATTTGATACGTACAGACTGAGTTGTGACTTGTTGATTACATTTGGTATCACACACGCTAGTGGGAGGACAGTGTTCCAGCGGGCTGCACTTGATGAACTCCGGCTCTGGAAACTAGATACTGTTGCTCCCAGGTAACGTTCAACTGTCAAGAATTGTGAAATCAAACGGCTCAGATACCAGTTATTAGCCGTTACATTTCATACATTATACAAGTAAACAAATATAAATTGTGGTATCAACATTTAAGCTTGTTACAGATTATGATATGATGTTTCACGCTAGTATTTTAAACACTTGCTTCCCCAGACCGAGCATATCGAACCAGCTGAAAGCACTAGATGTTAGCTATCTGTGCAACGCCTCCCTCTTCCCAACAATACGTGATATATTTGAGCTAGAGACAGTGCCTCCCCACGAGGGAGTCATGTTTGTGCAGGATAAACTGGATCACAAGAAGACAAAGTATCTGAAACACATGGCGCTCGTTATCACTGAACTCAAACTTCAGGTTTTTGTTTGCTGATTTTAGGGGTTCTCGAATCGTCAATTGCTATCTTCATTGAAATAATGTTTGAAAGTCGTAAAGTTTGTAGAATTGTAATCCGGAAATATCCTAAAATAAAGTTAATTTTACTTCTCGAATCACAGGAGTATTTTGACACAGCTGAGATGTTGTTACCACTACTTGGGATGGATAAACTGATGACTATTGAGGCTTACTTGTGCAATAAAACTCTTTCCGCTACTTTCGTAAGGTGGGTGTTAGTACTGATTTTAGTAATCAGGTACTAATTTTAGTAATCATGCACTCATTTTAGTAATCATGCTCAAAGTGCTGGTGTTTAATAATGCTGAGTTTAGCTGTTTTATTAGCAATCATGCATAATAATTAATAATTATCCATAATCACGGGTTGTAATATGTAATTTTACTGCTTCTTCATTAGTGAAATTAATAGAACGTCTTAACTCTCGCTATAAAGAAATTTACTGAAATTGAATTCGACACCATCTGACGAATAACAGTACAAATATTTTAACAGGGCACTGGACGACCTTCTGGAACCCTCAGATGAGAACATGTCAGCTCTATTGGAACGTCTACACACAGAGTTTGATTACCAGATAAAAACCGCTCAATTCAAGTTCACCTCCGAGCAGATCTCCACACTTATCAAGCGCATGTTGAAGTTGTACGAACTTGACGGCACCGCCGCCCCCAACTTATCACTCAGCAAAACAATCAGTAATCTGAAGTCGATACTGTATTGTAGATACCGTAAAGGTGCCATGGAGGACTGGACTAACACATTGGTTACAACAGTGAGAGATAGCGACGTGTTGCAACACGCCCTTTTCAAAGAACTTGTCCATTACCGGGATTTAGAGTACGCAGCGGTACTCTATCAACATGTTCAACCTAAACTCAACATCTTACCTGAGGAACTCCAGCAGTACATTGCCTCTACAAACCTGCCGTCTGTGAGTAAAGAGAAGGAAGTGATAAGTGAGAATACAGACCACAAGGAGGAGATGCAGGCCTCACAACCGGATACCACTACAACTAAGATTGTGATAAGAGAAGGAATTCTGCCAACAGACCCAGTTGTTTCCAATGGTTATGTTGGGCTACCTCCCAACGTTTCTATATTCGATGTTGACTCCCCCACTTCCCTGCGAGTATGTAAAGACGTACTGTCAAGTGCTGGCGTTATAGGATTTGACAGCGAATGGCAAGCCCTACTAGACCCCACCAAACCATCCCCAGTAGCCCTGGTCCAGCTGTCCACTCACAACACAGCTTTCTTGTTGGATATCTCACGTATCCTGGAGTTTTGTAGCGATGATCTTCTAACTGAGTTTGTGGAGGATGTCTTCACTGAAGAGGTTGTTCTGGTGGGTTACTCTCTCCATCAGGATTTCACAAAACTGTCAGAAACCTGTCAAGTTATGGGCACTAAAATCAGGTCCCACAAGAATGTTGTTGATTTAGCGATAGCTCACAAACATCACACTAGAGCGGAGCGTATCAGACGCTCTCATGAGATACGGGAGCTGGTGAGGGAAGGTAAACCTCTCCCTCGATCAGATAGTGTCAGTAGAACCACTGGATTGGCTCGTCTCTGTGAAATGATGTTTTCCTATCCTTTGGACAAAACTTATCAAATTTCTGATTGGACCCGACGTCCTCTATTTCCGGACCAACGAATTTACGCAGCACTGGATGCATTCATCCTCCTCCCTCTATACTACAAACTTACCCAAATATTCCATCCTACACCCCTGCTGGACCTCACAGTTAACGTTAGTGAGATCCCTGAGGAATGTAAAGTTGTGGCATCCTACATGCCAGCCTCCTCGCAACCAACACCCTCATACATGCTGCGTGTTATAGTGGACGTTCCCTGTCAGGGCCTGGGTAAGAAACTCCGACATCTTGGGGTGGACTGTGTTATTCTAGAGGACACACAGAGTATTGATGATGCTGCTAAGATTTCTCTTGCTGAAGGCAGGGTTATTCTGTCACGTGATGGGAATTGTGATAAGCTGGTTAAGCTAACTGATCCTGGTAGAGTTTATAAGGTCCTGGGAAAGAATGCCACCACTCAACTTGCTGAAGTCAGGAAACACTTCAACTTAGTGGTTGAGGAAGATGATCTGTTCTCGCGCTGCGCAATCTGCAACTGTCCTTACTTCCTGACAATGGAACCTGAACAAGCTAAAGCACTGAAAGCAGCACAGGCAACCTGCAACTCTAGCACGGTAGAGCAAATGTATGATGTGTACGATAGGAGAAAGAATTTTGTGGAAACCATTTCTGTGACGTCTGATGGCATGACACAGTATGGGGTGAAGTTGCAGTTGCATAAGGTGAAGATCAGCAAATTTGCTGAGACTAAGACTTTTTGGGGATGTTATGATTGCGGGAAGATGTACTGGGAAGGATGCCATCTCCAGAATTTCAAGGAAAAACATAATTTGTGAAAAAATAAAACAGGATATTTATAACTTATTATTTGCATGTATAGTGTTCTTTGGGTGATCTGGTTACTCTTTATTTGAACTAATTTATTTTTTCGTTGCTAGCAACAGGATAGTTGATCATTTACATTCGGTCCAATCATTTGCATGTTTGGTGTTTTATGGGTGTTCACTGTTCACTGTTCAGGTTATCATTATTGTAAGATTTTATTTAAAATATTTTATTTAAGATTGCTTTATTTAAAACATTTAATTGTTTGTCGTAGCTTTTGTACACTAAATAGTTGCATTATATATTTCTAAATATTTTTGTTTCATTAGTTTTTACTAAAATGTCTAAGAGACGGGATATTTATTAGTTAACATTCACTCCAATTATTTGCTTATACTACGGTTTTATCTGGTTGCGATTGTATATTTTATTTGAAACATTTGGTTTTTCATAGCTTTTATAATCCAAATATTTCCACTTTTTTCCAAATTGTTCGTTTCATTAGTTCAAACTGGAAATGCTCAATTCTATCTACTGGTATGCTCCCTTTTTTCAACGAATTAACTATACTAGCCTTCTATTACAACTCTTCGTCCAATTATTGATGACAATTTCGTTTGTTCGCTGGCACACACTTACATGAATACACTAATTGTGCGGCATAGATCAGATATGCTTGTCAACAGTTATTTATGAAAAATAACTTAAAACGTCTTCTGTAGGTCTAATGAACGTAGGCATAAACGAAGATTAACGGTGGAAACTGCCATCTATTTGGAGTAAAGTATTATCCCACACGCTGGTAGGTTTTACTTCTTTACCGGAAGCTATTATCATACTTTCATAGGGGACGAGGCAACAAATTAAGTCTAATCCCCGAACATTGTGCCAAATCTTTGTAAGCTGTGGCAAAACGTCCAAAAATGTAAGAAATGGAACACGCGACAAACAAATAGTAAATGAAAGTGTTTCTGTTTTCGCGCACTTAACGCGCGCAAACACATGTTTTAATTTAAAACCATTCCCAATTTTCGGTCCCAATTTGGGGCCAGTGAAACAAAACACCACCTTTAAAATAAAAACTATTTCTACTCCTTCAGATATCAGATGAACAACTTTAGCGGAGCTCTGCGCCTAACCGACCTGAACGATTTCATTGGACCATCACAAGAATGTATAAAGCCCGTTCCAGTGAAGAAATCTAAGAAACGCGGAATTGTAAGAGTTCATGACGACGGTGGCCTCTCCCAAAACTCTCTTCCCTTAGAAAAGCAGACTATATCACTGACTGACTGCCTGGCTTGCAGTGGTTGTGTAACTTCTGCTGAAACAGTCCTAATTGAATCTCAATCGGTTGGAACTTTGCAACGAGCACGTACTGAGACACACAAGTCACACACGTTCGTTGCTACTCTGTCTCCACAATCGGTAAGTTCTATTGCTCACAAGCTAGGAATCGGGTATGAAGATGCGTGTAAAAGGTTGATATCAACACTGAGATGTGACGGGTACAAGTACGTGTTCTGCTCTGTTGAAGGAAGTGAAGTTTGTCATCAGTTATCCGCCGAGGAGTTACTGAATAGCGACCTCCAGAAACAAGGATCAGACACAGAAACCACCAAAACATTAAAAACTAGCGTTCAGAAACCTGTTCTAGCGTCGGCGTGCCCGGGATGGATCTGCTACGCTGAGAAGACCCAAGGTGCTGCAGTGTTGGATCACGTAAGTCGGGTCAGATCACCACAGAGTATAATGGGATCTCTGGTGAAATCTGCTGTATCTAAACGGGAAATGATACCATATTCACAGGTATATCATGTTACCATTATGCCATGCTACGATAAGAAGCTAGAAGCTTCCAGAGCCGACTTCTTATCAAAAGAACATGACTGTCCTGAAACTGACCTAGTCTTGAGCACGGCAGAGTCGTTTGATCTTTGGGGAGTTGTGGAGCCTACCGAGGTGTCAGTTAATCAGTGTTTTGATTCTGTTTTAACTGATGATTCTTTTCCTTTTCAAACTCCTAGTGGTGGTGGATCTGGCGGATTCGCAGAGAGAATCCTCTATCATATCTCAAGATCTTTTAACTACCCTGGCAAGTTGGACATTACTTTCAAACAGCTCAGAAATAAGGATCTTCTAGAAGCTGTTGTTAAAATCAATGACACTGAATACCGTGTTGCTAAGGCATATGGGTTCAGGAACATTCAAAACATCATTCAAAAAATAAAGCACAAAAAGTGTAACTACGATTACATCGAACTAATGGCTTGTCCTTCGGGCTGTTTGAATGGTGGAGGTCAAATTAAACTAGAAGATTCTTCAGAATTAACTGCTATTACGGCAGTGTACTCGTCTGCTTCGTCTGATAAACTCAAACCAGCAAAGACATTGGAGTCTGAGATATTTTTGACGTCTTACAAAGCCGTCGAGAAGACTGCATCGGCACTAAGCTCGCAGTGGTGATATGGGATTATTTAAATGCAGATACAATGTGTTGTCTTATGTTCTGTACGATGTTCGTGTGTGATCACCCGCAATGATTTTTGACAAAGTATGTGGTTACGATGTATTCTTTTGTCTGATAGCTTTTGTTATTATGACTTAATTGTCATAACATTGCTAATTTTCAAAATTTCTGTTTTATTTGCTGTGTGATTGTTCCGCATTTGCTTCTCAAAATGATAACTTCATACCGTTGGCATACTGTATTATCTTATAAGTATATTTATGTTGAACATTATATATACATCACACTATCACTATCAGTAAAATCAGTTAATCTCCAAACAACAACCTTAACAATTAAATACCCCAATGTAGCACAGTGCCTTCATGTCAACTTCAGCTCCATCAGAAGGATCTGACAATAGTAAAGCCCCAACTGGAGGTGGAAACCCAATCTGTGAGGACTGCAACGCAGGACCCTACGTACCAGAGGAGGAGGAGGAGGTGGATGAGTATGATATGATCATAGAGAAAAGTGGGTGTGCCAAGGAGCACTTCGCCTTGCAGGACTGTTACCATGACAACGACAGGAAGTGGGCCAAGTGTAAGGGTGAGATGAACGACTTTAGGAAGTGTATGTCAGCTCAGGCTGCTAAGAGGTGAGGTCTGTAAATTTTTAAGGTTTTATTCTGTACCCTCTTTAATCTATACTCTCTTTGTATTCTGTGCCCACTGAATATTTGGATGATGCTTCTTTAAGTTTTTGACCCTCTCTTGATGAAGAATTTCTAGATCACGATTCATATTTGATTACTATAATTTAATATGTATATAAATAGTGTTAGTCCATTGTAATAATTTTTAGTCTATTTGTTAAATACGCTGTCATAATTATGTCTATCCTTCGTTTCTAGTGTCAGTTTAAAGTTCAGTATCGTTATTTAGACCGGTAGCAGAGTCTGACTCCGCATGTTAACGGGGTTCTTCTCTTGTATTGTTTTGGGAACAACGGAAACAACAGTTTAGGAGAAGTGGTTTTAAAATAAACTAAAAACTAACTTTTACGACACGAAACATCTGTATTTATATTACCTGCCGTGCCGATCTTAATAACTATTCTGACGTCACACTAATGTTTAGTGCTCGAGCTGACCGAGGTTAAATGAGGCCTAGTCCACCTGCTATGGTCATGTGACCTAGGTCACATGACTTACAACCAATGGACGGCTACCTCGCCTAGTTGTCAACCAATGGTAAAATTCCAGTATATTTTGCACAGCACAGAGCGTTCACTTAAATGCATGGTTGAATGAACTGACCCTTATGGTCCTAGATCGAAAGGTCACGATCAAGACACCTGTGTCCTGTTCCATATTATCTTAATCATAATTATGCAATCCTATTACCTAACATACCTCCCTTTTTTAAGATAATTTTATTTATGTTTTGGATGTTTCGTGCTTAAAGAATAAAATTATCAAATGAATCTTTACAACATGTATTTTACAATGCAACAAAAATTTAGTCTTAATACGACATTTTTCATTAATGAAAACATATCTCTAGAGCTTTTACTTAAAGATAATTTTTTAAATTCAAATTTCTAGTAAACATAAATGATTGGCTGTACTTCCTTTTCGAACTTTTCTTTCTTTTATTATTGACAATCTGGAAATTGGTAAATGTGTACAGTCAACCATTTTTAAAATATATCAACTATTAATATATCAACATTAATAAAACTCATCTAAAATTCTACTCTCAGTCTCTTTTTGTCCATGAATTGTCCATCATTCTCCTCCCTCCTCAAAACATTAACAATCATTTAAATCAAAGAACTAAGTCTGAGAGTAAGTTAACATAATATCAGTCTAGCTAACATTTTTTTATTATTTTTGTATATAAAATCTTTTTTTCTAATTTTCTTAGTTTTCTTTTGATCATAACTGCATTCGCGATTAAAGCTATTTAGTGTTAAACGAAATTTGCGTTATTAGAATTTCACATATTTCAACAATAAAAAATTATATTATCAGTACTGCTGGCAATTAGTTTCCTATTGATGCCAGTGCATCGATAGAAATCTAACTGCAGGCCCAGGGATGGCCGGCACAAAACACGTGTGGTAATCACTTTGCTGTTTTACGGCTTCTGATTGCCACAACTTGCTAACCCTTGAACCTGTACATATTTAAATCTAAAATTAATCTTGATTCTGAAATTTTTCTCTTAGGTACAGCTACCACTAAACGGGTAATCTGATCAATATTATATCTCATTATTTAGGCAGGCTGCTTTAGCTTTATTTTCATCGGCAGCTTTTGCCGATGCCAATTTTTGGCATCAGTGGAAAAAACAATTTGATTAACCAAGTTAGGCCAACACAAAATTTTCAAAATGTACAGCCAGCTTCGTTACACAATGAAGTTGACATGATGCAAAATAATTCGCAACATAACTACTTATTTGCTTAAAAATGACTTAAATTTCAATAACAATATATATGTTCTCCTGTGCCACCTTCTAATCATACGTTGAACGTTGCATCTAGTTTAACCACGCAAGACAATCGACAAAGTCAAACATGCTCACACTGTTTCGAGTCAACTAATTTTCAAATTCGAGTTCCACTGACAACTTATAAGAGACAGGGCTTGTTGTGCAAGGAAGAAAAGCGGGAGAAACCATTACAAATAATTAAATATTATAAACCTAGCAAAAAGAATTTCCAATAATATTACTCTATTACCAATGTTTATTACATTTTACAATGCGAAACACGATAATTATATGCCGTATTATTTATTAAACAAGAAACAGGGCTTGCAGAGCAAGAGAAAGAAAACAAGAGAAAACTAACAATAACTGTATATACCGTAGTCCATCAAATATGTTTATTATTAATACAGAAATCAGTGCAGGGCTAACTTCAATATAAAATCTATAATAATTACTCAATCTACCCAATATAGAGTTAAAGATTGTATGAACAAGAGACAGGGCTTGCATAACAAGGGAAGAAAGATAAAAGGACCATGTACCGAGTGTTTATTACAGTATCCAGCGAAGAGTAAATTAGATAAAGCGTATTTATTATATCGGGTCTCAATAAGAGGTCTCGACTTGCAATGCAATGGAAGAAAAATGGGCGAAACAATCATAAAGTGAATATTATATGAATTAGCAAATAGAAATTCAAATAATCCTACGCTACAATAAATGTTTATTGCACAATTATAATATGTTGTATAGATAAGAAACAGGGCTTGCAGGGCAAGAGATGGGACACACAAGAGCTGGCAACAGAGTGTATAATACAGTAATCCAGCAAACACCTATAATTACTAATACCGAAATGTGAACCACAATTTACCACAATTAATACAATATACAAAATACTAAACACAATGTTTATACAAGAATCAGGGCTTGCAGAGCAAGGGAAGAAAAATAAGAGAAACAACTGCAACAATTGTATATCACAAAGTCTTTATTATTATTATTATTTATAATTTAATTATCCTTATTAAGGTAAGTTGTACTAGTATTGCCCCCCGGGCAGAAATAGAAGAGAAATGCACGTTCTCTCGTCACCGTTTCGAAAAGATGAGTCGTGTGTTTTCCTGGACGAAAACAACCAAAAGAAACTGCCAAGAATGGACAGAAGAAGAAATGTCAGCGAGGGACAAAGATGTCTTCAATAACTACCAATTTTGGGGATATTCTTGTTATCAATAAAGCGGATATGTGTTCAGAGACGAGCACAATAGATACCACAGAGCAGATATGTATAGAGCGGTAGTGGAGAAAGAGCCCACAATAAACGCAGATATGTGTATAGACTGAGTTAAAACTCAACATACAAGATTAATTACGTATTGTTTGATAATAAAGCATCTCATGAGATTAATAAAGTAATTCAAGACATTCGTAGAAGTGTCCGCTCAGAGTAGGACTTGGAGCCACCAACGGGCTTCTGCAAGTTCTTATTAAGAACTTTTTAAATTGTAAGTTTATTACTATCTTTATATATTTATTTTAATTTTAAAGCTTACGATTTATTATAATTAAATTATTATAATTACGAATTATTATAATTAAAATCCTGAAAAGCTTAATGGTAATTATACCGATCACATAATAATGTCTTCTTTGTAATTGTACGTTCAGTATTAACGACTAACGTGTCGTAAAGTAGAGCATGCACTACTGTATAAATCCTTACTACTCAGAAGCCTTGGCCTTGGCCTACGAGTGCAATTCCAGATTTAACGGCTCTGCTCTAACTTGCTGTCAATACCTACCGATAAGTTTCACATTATCTCAAAAATATATTTTTAACAAAATATTCTGAATGATACTAGAGGAAAAAATTGGTTATAACTTGCTCTTAAACTTAATATTACATTTAATTACGTTCACATTGAGTTTACACGTCTATTCCTAATTTCGAATTAGGAAAATATTCTGATGAATTTTAAAACTTAATTTCTGATAGATAACTCGGAATCATATCAATAACGTATTCTAATCCTGGTACACTCACACTCACTTCCACAGTCACATGTTCATGAGGTAAAACTTACAACACTCTATGGTGTTACATTTAAAAATAAACTCTCAATCTCTAAACTTAAAGGTATGAAGTTCTTAAAACTTGGCATTACACTGCAACACAAAACATCAGCAACTCCTAAGCCTAAATTCAGGTCGTTCACTTTATCACTAAACAACCACAAGCTGCGATCAGTTATAATGATTATAACTTTGCAACTTTGTATAAAATACAACTGGCAGTTTACCATAGTCGGCTAGTCCTAATGTACTAATGGACAAAATTCTGTCCTACCCCTAAGATTCACCAAACAAACTGAGACAAGATTTCTGTTTCTACTTTCTAGATGGGCAGAGTAATTTATTCAGACATAAATTAAATTGCATTAAAATATCCCGTGCCACTCGGAAAATACTTGCCCGAAATTCACTTATACTTATTCTTACACTTTCTCACAAAACATCTCTCACTCACACTTAGCATTTATTCCACGGTCAGTAGTTTAAGTTCTCAAAACTTGGCATTCGACGGCAACAAAAAAAACTCTCCACAATAGCTTGCAAGCATATTCTTGGTTGTCAACTTAACAACCACACGCCGTTACACAATTCTCACAACAAAAGCGCCAAGTTCTGCTTGTCTTGGCTGTTAGCTTCGCAACCAAGGACAAAGCAATTATTCATGATCATGATCTGTACATATACTATAAACTTCAAACAAAGCAATTTCAACATTGCTAATAGGTCAACCTCCATTAAAATCAAACCGTATCAACGTCAGTCTAATTTATGACGCATACATTATTACATTACTCTCAAAAGAGAACTACTACGACCTAAAATGCATTCAAATTCATCCAGCGTGTAAGTGCAATTCCTTACTTTGAATGGTACAATTTAATACTTCAATGCTCTTACTGAAATACTAGTATCAGTAACTAAGGCTTACTCAACTGAATAATTTTCTGTCTATTATGATATATTATACGATATCGCTATTCCATGAACGGCCGAACTTACTAACTCTCCCTAAAATAACTCAAAGTTAAAGTCGTCGGCTCAGTCTTGAGTCTTTGTGCAAAACGAGAGTCAGTGCCCTCTCGTCGAGGGAGTCAGTCAATTGGTCGATCCTTATCTGTCATTTAATGTCATACAATCATCATTGCACAAAATATTGTCAGGTTAATGTTTCAATAGTCTCCAGAGTTATATCAACTTGAAATACACACTACAGATTTCTATGGATTTTACCATGTGAAGCAGCTCTAGCCGTCATGTTTACAAGGCCAATATTATAGGTAAACTTATACTCTTATAGTAGGCTACAAGTCAATAGCAAGTTGTTATCATAAATAGCAGGACCCGCAAGTAATTCGAACCCATTTGTTTTCGGGATTTACACTAACAGCTGGCTATATTAGTATTATTCATAAACTTTTTAAAGCTGTAACAAGCCAACTCAATTGTTGGACCTTATCACTCACTATCAGACCGTCACAGCATGCGGTCACTCGAGAAACACCTATCGATATTTTTACTGCACCTTTCACATACACTTACTGTGTACTTCACTTCAAATTCACTGTGCATTTCACTATAATTTACCATGTATTTCACTGTTCATTTCACTTACACCAGACACCTACTGTGTATTTCACTTAAACCTACTGTGTCATACTGGAATCTCACTGGAACAAACGATCACACGCCTAGTTCAAAATGCTAAACAACTCTAGTTTCTAGTTATATGACTTTAACTTTAACTTAGCTCCAAGTCAAGCATCAACATATCATTAACTTGAAATAGCATAATAATACTTGAAAAAATGACAAAAATTTGAGGTTGGGCCATGTTATACGAAAAATGTTCAAGTGATAACCTTAGTTTTTGTTCACCTACTAAGTAGATTGTTTCATTGAAATGTTGAACATTATGAAACTCGTAAACTTATCATAAAATTTTGTTAAAATTTTAGATGAATCTATTCATGATTTCGTAGCAAAAAATAAGATTGACAATTTTTTGAAATCTCCAAAATTTTCTGCTCTCGTGTTGATTTTGATAAAATTTTTATTATTTCTTCTCAAATAGGCTTTAAAAATTAAAAGGTTTAAAAATATACCTCTTTTCATCTCAACTCTTATGTTTGTATCCAGTAGATTAAAGTAGGACTAGATTGTCCGAGTAATCTACCGTTTGTAGTCAGCTTATCCGTTCTCCACACCCCTCTGTCACTATGTTCCTATCGTAGGTTGACGCCACTATAGATACCATGGATTGAGTTCCATTTTAAGTTTACAGGATCTTGGGGAAACATCAGATCTGGGTTACCTCCCAGCAAGGACTTGATATCTGGGTTACCTCCCAGTAAAGACTAAATCTGGGTTTCCTCCCAGCAAGGACTTTATCTGGGTTACCTCCCAGCAAGGACTTTTATCTGGGTTACCTTCCAGCAAGGACTTTATCTGGGTTACCTCCCAGCAAGGACTTTTATCTGGGTTACCTTCCAGCAAGGACTTTATCTGGGTTACCTCCCAGCAAGGACTTTTATCTGGGTTACCTCCCAGCAAGGACTTTATCTGGGTTACCTCCCAGCAAGGACTTTATCTGGGTTACCTACTAGCAAGGCCTTTTATCTGGAACCAGGATCTCAGTTGTCCGTTGTTACCTTTTCTCCATCATTTATTCTGCAGTAAGGCGTAATTGTTGTAGCCTTCAGCAGCAAGATGTCCCAACGTCGGTCGTAATCCTCGTCGCCAATGTTAACGGGGTTCTTCTCTTGTATTGTTTTGGGAACAACGGAAACAACAGTTTAGGAGAAGTGGTTTTAAAATAAACTAAAAACTAACTTTTACGACACGAAACATCTGTATTTTATATTACCTGCCGTGCCGATCTTAATAACTATTCTGACGTCACACTAATGTTTAGTGCTCGAGCTGACCGAGGTTAAATGAGGCCTAGTCCACCTGCTATGGTCATGTGACCTAGGTCACATGACTTACAACCAATGGACGGCTACCTCGCCTAGTTGTCAACCAATGGTAAAATTCCAGTATATTTTGCACAGCACAGAGCGTTCACTTAAATGCATGGTTGAATGAACTGACCCTTATGGTCCTAGATCGAAAGGTCACGATCAAGACACCTGTGTCCTGTTCCATATTATCTTAATCATAATTATGCAATCCTATTACCTAACACGCAGACTCCGAGTCAGACCCCCACCCTCACCCCCACTTCATGGATTATGCTCCTATATCTATGACGGATCAGTGGCACGGTCCCGAGTGGAATGGCAAACCTGTTTATTAGTCTATTCATCCTAATAATGTAAGATACTGTCAGCCCAAATGGAGTTTTTAAACAAAATTCTTGTTTGATCAAAATTGTTACAAAATTTTTGATCTAAAAGATGTTTGCCGAAATGGCTGATTTATTGAGTCCTATTAACTAGTTTTCTAATTTATATGATGAGAAAGTTTAATCCGTATTATTATCAGCATTGATAAGTTCAGCGTGCTGAGTATCATATATGCCCTACGATTTCTATTCTTTTCAACTATTTTTTGAAATTTGAATCTTGGAAAAATAAGAAGAGCATATTCTTGAAAAAGTTTGCATATTTCTCTGGGTTGTATCGCACAGATCACGGAAAAACTTCGGGGTAATACTCAAAGTAAATAGTTTCAAATAACAGTCTTATCCATGCAAAGCTACATAAAAATAACTATTCAGAAAATTATATACATCATCTTTACTCACAGAGTTTATAATAAATAATTATTAGGATGAAAGGCGGAATCTTTATATATTCCAAATATATTGTGTAAATTTGGTAACAATAAAAAACTTCAGGAACGTACATCTATATATAACCGTTTGCCATTCCTGAATCCAAGCCATAAAATGAAAAACCACATAAAATACCAAATTACACAGCAGCAGCTTTTCTCTTAAAATGTCAGCAATTTAATATTTACTTTACACTTACTCGAGTCTTTTAATAAGAGAAAACAGCTCAAAAAGTTCAACAAAATTAAACATGCTATAATTTACGTCTAATGTATCAGATTAAATGTTTCATGTTCAATGTATAAGGTCTGGTGTGTCACTTAAACGTACTCGATCTCACAACTAGACACACTCAACTCCGGCTCGACTTGCTCAGCAGACCTTCTCAGAGCCATCCCAAACGCGAGTTTCAGGATCCCGAAGATGAAAGCAGCAAGTACGCAGAGTCCAGCCACGACACAGGCCCCCTGCAGGAAGGTCAGGTGATCCAGGAATATGCCTGCTAGGAACATTCCAGAGTTGACGCCACCCACCCATCCAATCAGCCAGATGGATGCAATGCTGCTCTTCTGCTGAGCGGTGAGTCGCCTCCCACACAGGACAGTCTGGATACGCTCCATGTTGGAGATAGTCACGTTTGTTACCAGGGGGTCTCCCAGTCCTAGGAGAGAGATGGAGAAGTATCCGGTGAAGTGGGTAGAGGTGTAGAGAAGGGGGAGAGAGGGGGAGGGGAAGAGGAGGAGAGTGCCAATGAATACAAGACAGCATCCTACTATAGCTTGTGTGGTTTCGCTCAGCGCTCTTCGTTGAGAGATGAAACCTAAAGAAAAGCGTTATAGTTATAATAAAGAGTCCTTTAAGTTTAACTCGTAGAATTTAGTTTAATCAATAAACTGCGATGATTAATTGTCGAACCACTCAACTTACAACTATTACGATCATGATAAATACCTGCTATGAGAAAGCCGGCAGCGGTGGCCAAGAAGTTGGTGAATATCAGACTGCTTGCCCTGGAGTTGGAGACATCACAGCATTCCATCAGGAATATGACTGAAGTTATGACGCAGTATCCTGAGACCAGATTGATCAGGTACTGCCCGGAGATTGGGAGGAAAACCAGTGGGGAGAGTGAATCTGATCGTCCATCCTTTTCTTCCTCTGGTTCCGGAACGGGTTTCTCCTCCAAGGATTGGAATTCGGAGATGGGCAGGTCGTCGCGGGGGAGAATTAATCCAGAGAAGACCATGGCGACCAAGGTGAACAATCCTAGGATAACATAAGGAGCATGGTAGCCGTGATCCTCGTAGGAGATAGCTCCGACGAGGGAGAAAGTGCCGTATCCAACATAGGAAGCAGTTCCGGTGACAAGACTGCTGACGAGCTGGAAGTTGTCTGGAAACCAGGTCCTGATGGCTTCAACTGTGGTGATGCAGCCCAGGTACATGTTCCCTCCGGATATGATCCTCAGGAGGATGGAAGCTGCTGAGAAGATCAGTTTGCTGGATATCATGTCAGAGACTCCGTAGCAGAGACACTGGAGGGTGCTGCACAACATTATCCCCATCAGGATGTTGTGGTGAGAGATGCCGCGACTGTAGTGTAATCTGAAATTGTCGGGTTTTTAAGGTATTTGTTATTATTTGATGTTTCATTCTGTCATTTCACCTGGCCGCCTCTTGGCATGCCCTGAGCCCTCTCATTCTTTAGGGTCAAATTTTTAGCAATTTCCAACAAAGCTAATATAAAATCAGACAACTAATTTTATTATGAAACTCACCGATTGAATATCCCCAGAAATGGTGCGATGATGAAGCCTATACCGACACCTGAAATAGAATATCGTGAATATAAATTTCCAAATGATGTACATATTCGGATATATCATCAATCTTCGATCTGATTGGTTTTTTTAGTGAAAAGATTTAGAATTTTAATATAATAATATTATATCTAGGAGCCGACCTGAAATCCGGGAGCCGGCCAATTTTTGATCCGGTCCTGTGCGGCCCGGATCTAGTCCAGCCGGACCCAGATCTGCATTTACAAAATTAAAAGTTGAAAATTTACCATCTTATCCGAATCATCTTTTACTGAGGGGATCATTTGTTACGCAGTTGGGACAATTTGTTAAATTGTTACTGAGAACGGTTTGTTTGTTACTGCACACGCCCTGCATTGTTTGTTAACGCCCTTTCCTTATTTGGGGACCGTTTGTTACTCAGGGGTTTTACTGAGATGGGACCGTTTGTTACTGAGGTGGGATCATTCGTAAGAAGTTCCTTACTGCTTCGCGTCACCTGATGAAGATATTGTTTGTTAATAAAAGAACGCCGTTTTTAAGTTACTCAAGGGATCTGCTCTCAGGGTTTGCGACTCTGAGAGAATCGTTTGTTACTCTGAAGAATGAATCCACAAGAAAAATTATTAAATCATAATTAGTAGACTTAAACATAAGGTTCATTAGTCTTCAGACTTCAGTGTCTACTACCATCTCAAAAGAATTAGTCGTATATGATTATTTAAACTCAGTTCCTAATTTGATGTCTTCTAAACCTAAGAAAAATCAGAATTATGAAGTAATTTTATTCATAATTGCACACTGTTGTATGATATGTCTAATTGTGCTATTAATCGTTTGTGACGTAAAGGTGAAGCAAGGGAAGGAGCCTAATTATTCCTCTCGACCTCTCGGTCAAATCATATTTTAAAGTAACAAAAGTGTAACAAGAGTTTTAAGTGCTGCAAGAGAAAAAAGAGTTACAAGGGTTACAAGAATTTTAAGAGCTGCAAGAGAAAAGAGTTACAAGGGTTACACTTACAATAATTACATCAAGATCCGGGTCTGGGCTTGCCCACTGCCCAGTAAACCGGATTTTATACTACTGATCCGGTCGGTATTGCCATCCTCTATGCATATCCCAGTTCAAAAAGTACAAAATGTGCTCAAAGCGATAAACATACCTGATCCGACAAGGCCGTACACAGTCCCTGAGATGTTACGTCCGGTGAGATGTACAGCTAGGAATCCGGAATTCACCATGCTGATGGAGAACATGCACTGGGCAGCTAGCATCAAGGTTGCCGTGACAATGATCTTCTTGGCTTGCACGGAGTTCGGAGAGATGATTCCTCCGATAAGGGAGGAGAAACTGTTCTTACTCCCATAAGTTTCACTAGGAAGGGGGTTCTCCAGAGGAGCTTCAAGGTCCGTGTATGGGAACACCTCTGCGTAGGTGGGTATATCCTCGGCAGCTGATGAAAGTGCTGCTGGGTTTTCTAGGAGTGCCTCTGTCCCGATCTCGGAGTAAGATGGTGGATCCGAGCTGGCAATTGGGGGCCTCTCCTTGGTTGTTTCTGGAGGGAAGGCCTCTGACAAGGAGGACTGTGGTGTTGGTAAGTCCTCTGTTGAAGAAGTCCGAGAGATGGTGGGGGACTCAGTGAGTAGCGGGGCCTTCGCCTCTGCTGCCATGGCAGCGAGCTAAACCGGGAAGGAGTTAGATATACAGGTCACCATTACAAGGCGATTTTAAACCAATAAATCAAATGTTTCTTTAAAAAAGGATCGAAAAATTAGTAAAGTCATAAGGAAATCGTTCACACCTAAGAGATAAAAACACTTAAAAGCTTTCTCGAGAAATGGCTTGTTTGTACCGAAACCGATGTTGTAACATGAACACAAGCGCGGAGCTCTGGTCCAAATATAGACGCTAATGGGTTCCCCAAGATGGGAAAATACCGTCACTAGAGGTCAGCACCACCGTGCTATTGGCTGATGCTGCTACAGACAAGGATTAGATCTAGAGATAATGAGCATCTTAGCTTCCTCCTAGAGAGCTAGGAACCTGCATCACAACAGCACACACGCGTGCTCGCTATCTTACTCCTGCTATATTATATATATAATACAGGTTCTGGCTCAAAGTGGTTAAACCAGTTTTACCACCATCTCTCTCCCTACATGCTCGATGTGATGTGAATGGTTATGAGGTGGCGCGCGTTGTCAGGCCGACAGGACAGACAGCCAGTTACAGACAGTGGTCGTGGTCACGTGGGAAGACCGGAAACTGCTGGCTTGCTAATTTATTAATCTCCCGTAATTTGGCTGATCAACGCCCTGCTTTATCATCTTTTCCAAACATTGCCAGCCTAATGGTCGCCACAAATCAGGGACCTACTCGGTAATTATAAAGTTATAAGTCGAAAACTGTGCGGGTGTGCCTCGGAAAACAGGTGTACACTGTACGACCTACGTGCGCAAATTTCTCATAACCAGTTCATTCCACAATCAAATCAAATAAGTCTGTCCTAATAAATTAATTTTTATCTCGTTTGCCTTTGGCTTTGGTGAATCCAGTTAAGTCGAACATCAAACTGGTTTGTAAGATAATCAAGTTTATGACCAAGCGCTAGAAGTAGAAAGAAGTAAAATAGAAAAATACTAACGCGTGCGCGTGACAACTAACCGGTCGAATAATAGCAAATAATAAAATAAATAGTTGGTTGCTCAATAGCATGATACATTAAACAAGGTCTTATCATCACACTTACAAAGAAGCCCTCAGACTTACAAAGAAACCCTCGTGTTCCACGTATTGACTACTGACGACTGATCAATGATCCGTGGTTTAAGAGCTAAGTATGATCACATCTGTATCCAGGTTACCTCCGATTAATTTCACTCACATCATCCTGCCTGTTTGTCTCTTAGCCAACTCATTATGTCCTGCCGTTTGTTAACAATCAGAGGCAATTAAAAGAACCAATATCCGCGTGATACCAGGCGGATTGTGCCGGGGAAACTTCTAGTCGGGCTATGAATCATACACTAATGTAGGTAGTGTAACGGTGATGACTGCAGTACCATCCGGCTTGGCTAGATATCAGATTATTGATGATCGGAGAAATATATATAATGGTATTGTTAATTGCTTCCACTCAATGATTTCAGGTGGTTCATGGAAGTCATGTTTAAAGGACGTAGTTCCGTTACGACCAATATCCGATATATTGGTTATAACACCGGGTAAAATAGACAATTATCTCCGGCTATGATGTTTGTACAACGTAATGCCCCGCCCAGTCCTAAGTTCGCCCATTCACCACGCTGTCTTGCGACTAAATGCGACATTCATCCTATTTTCTTGCGACTAAATGCAACATCAAAAAGACTATTATTCGCTTTATTCGCTCTGCCCACAGCAGTGCTTACTGCTTACAGTTACTACTTAGAATCACATACGAGCAAGTCTCATGTTTCTGCTAAATTCTAAAACCAAGGTTCGTTTGCCATTCGCTTAAGACTGAAACCTTAATTCAAGCCCAATGTGACTATGGTAACGGATATTGCATAATCAAGAAATAAGTGATTATGGAGGACGGTTTCATACCAAAAACAATAAATGCGGCCGCTTTTCTTTCATGGATGGCCGCTTAATTTCCCGATCCGTGATGGCGTATTTTATCATATTCCATACAACCTGGGGACCCCATTCTTTAAAATTTATAAGCAGGCAGATATGGCGGAGTGACAGCGATTCGGCGATGGGATCAAAAGCAGCTGATAACAGCTGAAAAGTATTACTCCGTTAGAAAGTAGAAACAATTAAAAAGTCGATTTCGACCTTGCAATAGAAAACTTGATTATAATGTGGGGAGCGTATTGTGAACGTGGAATATAATGACAAAAGGGACTCGAGTCAGCTCGGGTGATGCAAGACACTCGCAGCGGCTATTTAACCAGTGGTGATTTAACCAGTGGTGATGCAAGACGAATGACCTCCAGGCCCGGGTCGGAACAGTCGAATAATCTAGATTGAATTAAAGCGTCGAAATTATGTTTAATATAATAAGCTAGAAGATAACAGTCGAATAATCTTAATTGAATTAAAACGTGTAAATTGTATTTAATATAATAAGTAGAAGATAAATGCGCTGTGTAAATGTAATATTTTTCCTCACCACTTATGTAGTTATGTAACTTCTACAACGTTGACTTCATTCAATGGCAACTATGGACTTGAAAGACACTGAGAGCTAAATATTTACTTTAAGATTTACAATCGAGGTAAAGAAAGTCTGTATCCATGGGGTCACCGTGATAATATCAATAAAAAATGATAGAAAATCGTTGATGTCTAACATATGACACTCGTACTGTAAATGAGAGGCTACTCCCGGTTGAGATATGTGGATTGTGGACGAACACCCGGACACGAGAGCACTAGGACACGAGAGCACTAGGACACGCGAGCACTAGGCTCGGGTGATGCAAGACACTCGCAGTGGCTATTTAACCAGTGGTGGGTCGGAACAGTCGAATAATCTAGATTGAATCGAATTTGCATGATCAAAACGTACCATTAAGTCTGGCATCGATTGACCCATATATTTGTTTATTTTACCAAAATACTTGTTTGTAGCCCGGTTATTAAGGTCGGTAAATGTCCTATTTATATCATCTCGAATGATATTTAATGATTTAATGATTATTTTATATTACCGCTATGCAACCTCCGCAGGTTCTATTAACAAAGTCTTTTCTCTTTTTTTGCAAATTATTCTATTTAAACTATCCTGGCGAAATATATTTAAATAAAGTTTCCTCTACGTTGCACTGAGTTGGCGGCAGACTAAGAGACTCCACTAGGGAAGGAATTTCTTTTAACAGGGCAGGAATCCCTTGTAATCTTGCTTGGTGGATAATGAAAAATAAGTGGTAACCTAGTAATTTTGGAAAACTCTACTGAACTTAGCGGTTGAACAAAACAGCTAGACTTTTTTAACTAAATTCACAAATACTTTGTGCAGTCTAGTTAGAAACGTGGGCGACATATTGGCGAGCGGGCACGTATATACGCCACGCACGTACGACGGTCGCAAGCTACCACATACGGAAAAAACCTCGTTCGCTAACCCTTGTCCTTGACTCTTTTGTGCCTTCGACACTTGAGTCATGGATCAGAAAATAAACGAGTAACATTAAAATGTTTAACGCAAATACTAAAGAAGAGTATGTACAAATGCGGATATTCCGCAAAATCATGGAGCCAAAAGTTTTGATTTTTGAGACCCAAAACTTATCCAAATTGGGTAGGTAAGATCTTAAGTACCATGTTTAGATGGTTTCTTATGGTTATATCAAATACCAAGCATAGGGTGCTATGAAGTTAAAGATTAAAGAGTTGAAAAGAAATCGGAGTCACTCAATATAACAACATGTAGTAAAGTTCATGATGATTGATGCTCAACAACTGCTCATTGTTATAAAGGTTTGCGTTAATTAAATAGCTTAGGTTAATTGGGCGCGGTAAATCAGGATTTTACTGTATAAGGAGTAATGATAGGGTGGTTTGACAAGAATAGCTAATACTGATGATTAATATACGTGATTTCATCCAATATTTATAATACTAATACAGATTACAGCACCGAATAGCGCAAATAATAAAGGAGAGTAGATATATACGGCTTACAGATGCACATACAGGTATGGTGTAATGATAAGGTTGTTTGACAAGAATAGGATAATATGATGACCTATATTAACCTGATGTCATGCATTATCTTTGTTAGGATATCATGGTTGGGTGGATTATGTAATGATAATAAGATAACCATCAGTATACGTCAATCGAGATCCTGTCACAGCATTGTGATTCTGCAGGAATCCTCCAGAAATAATGAATCATAATCGTACATATATTACGGAAGCCAGCCTTGGGGGCTGCAGGGAGGTGATTCTAACGCTAGCGTAATTATTACACAATAGTTACATTTTGAATGGCTTACGGTACGGGGGTCTAAAAGGTCAAGAATCAAGATCTGGGCCACGTACTATATGAATATGTAATATAGTAAGATAGAAGGATGAGGATTTAACCTCTGTTAGCCTACTATGAATGCAGCTGCAGTATTTCCAGTTACACGTATCAGGGAGACTGTCAGTCAGACACTGATGTGTGTCCCTTTCTTTAACATATGAGGTGACCTCAGAGCTCAAACGCAAACCTTGCCAACAAGTTTATACTGAAGAAGAACACCCCCTTAGAATAATGAAACAGCGCCAATACCTCGCCGGGGTCACACGAAGTGGAAGCACCTGACTAGACCAGCTTAATATCCGGTTAATTCCGCTTTAAACTTCCTTTAATATGTAGTGTATACCATCCTTTCCTGTTCGCTGCAGGTAAACTACCTTGAACTTCTTGTCGAATATATTAGTCATTAATGGATCTGAACACTTTCAGATATTACGTGTTTTGACACGTGATAGCAATACTGGGTTTTCATTGGCTAACGCTTGACCTGTGACAGTTATTCTGATTTTTGGTTGGCCAACGCTAGAAGCTGGTTGGCTAATCCCTGCGCGTGTCCGAAAAATATGGTCCACCTTGCCACCAGTATCTAGATATATAATTAGATACATGTCACACACTCCCGAATATGGTTAAACTAAAACCGCACTAAATTCCTTAGTAATAGGTTCAGCGTGGGTGGTAAATTAGGAAAATAAACGGTCTGAAAACCTGTTGTCGGTAAAGCTGGTTCCTCAACTTTATTGGCTCCGAAATCCTGAATTGTTGTAATCTGGTGCAGCATGGTTGGCAGCTGATGCTTTAAGTTAAAGATGGCATTAGATTAAATATAAAATATAAGGCTGAGTTCGGGAGAGAGGGTGAAATCATTCCTTTAATTAACCCCACTTAAGCAAAACTGTCAATTATACCAGTTGTAAGAACTGAATAGGTCTGTAGCATATTAATTTCCTGTATTGTTAGTAACCAGTAACCAGTAACTAGTAACCAGTAACCAGTAACCAGTAACCAGTAACCAGTAACCAGTTGTTACCAGTTACCAATAGTAACGTAAAACATAATTCAGACCACTCCATTAGCTAATGTACTATGTTGACAGTGGAGCGGTTTGTTAAAAGTCAGAGGGAGCTGCTTGGTTTGGAGCAGGATGAGGAAACTGAGCAATCTAGAGACCTGCTCCACGGCCAATCTGGTAAAGTAACTTACATTTGTTTTGACCTTTTTTTCTTAATTGCTTAGATTGCAAGCATTGGAGTACGGAAAATTTCCATACGGATTACGAATTCAGATCAAATTCGGCACTTTTTCGGAAATAACCGAAAGTTTTGTCGAAACAAAATGTTCAATAAATTATGGAACGATTGAAAATGAACCAACTAAATTGACGACTCAATAACAACTAATAATTGTTTATCCTCTCAGCAAAAGACTTGGAAAAGGAGGGTGTATGTGTGACGAAGCTATTCCCAGCTTCAATAGCAACAGGTCTTTATAGGTCCATGGCAACCAAAATTCAAGTACAGTCCGCTTTTAAATGCTGTGTTCATTTGACTTTAAAGGACCATTCGCGTACGAGTGCAGAAAGATTATGCTGATTTTAGAGAAAGCTATTAGTAAATTAGCTGCTGTATAGAAATTACCTCTCCATACTGTATAGAAATTACCTCTCCCTAATATGCGACGTCTCATTTAGCATAATTCAGGTCTGTACGGAAGAAGAGTCCTGAAACTGACTCGGGAAAATCTCCCAAACCATTCCTTCTCTTCTGGAGATATAGCTGGCTTGTCTCACAAAGACTTGACTATTATCTGCGAGGGTATCGTCAGTAAAGTTGGTATGTAGGAGGGGCAATTTGTCTAAATACTTAGCCCCTGATTAACATTTTCTTCCAAACTAATGCTGTTGAAATTACTCTAAAACGTTTTTCCCATAAAAAGAAGTATACAAGCATGAGCTCTGGTTCTGACAGAATTCCAAAAGCTTTCTTACACTCAACAATAAATACACAATGTCACAGGAAAAGACAGCATAAGTGTGGCGTTTGAAGAGTTCTCAGATGATGTGATGCAAATGAGTCGAGTTAGTCTTCTGAAACTCACAAACTCAGTTACTTACTCTAGATACTTGTCGTGAGTTTTATATTGTAAAGGATGGCACTAAGTTTCAAGTTAAATTTATTGTTTTTGTTTAATATCCTTCAAAGTTCATTAGATAACCCCGTTCAAAAGGAAGGGTGTATTCTTACACCTTTACAACTGACTCCTTTAGTCTTCAACGCTCACTGAGTAATCTGGCCATAGTATCTGATTTTGAAAGCTTCAATTTCAGTACTTTGAAAATAATTGAGAAGAATGAAAGTGACTTGGTGGATAGACTGCTATCGGAGGATATCAGAGCTGCACCAACAAATCCAAACGAAGCCTCGGTAAGTGTTTCTATCGATCTTCGAATCTTCGCAAAGATGTCAATAGAATGGCCAACTCCGTGAACTCTCTGAAAACGTGGCGGTAATCTAATCACACTCTATATGACGATATACAGTGTACTATCTATAATGGATCACATGGCGATATAACGACAACGTGCATGGCGATATAAATTATAAAGTGTCTGACAATATACAGTGTGTATTGAAGAAATGTCACAGAAATGTGTAATTGATTGGTTTCAGTCACAGGATGGTTGGCTCAAAGGAGTCCAATCACGTGCCATACCTACTCAAGAAATCGATCCGTTTTCATTTAGCAGAAAGTTTTGAATTTCTACTTTAGTCTCTCCAACAGGTGACGTACTGCAATGACGATTTAAACAGCGGTCAGAAACAAGCTGTTAAACTTACTTTAGAGAGACCTGATATGGCGGTTATACATGGCCCGCCCGGGACCGGGAAAACTACAACTATCGGTAAAGATATAATAATAAATTGCCTGGTTTAAGTAAATTATTTTAAGTAAATTTAAAATCGATTAAGTTTTGGCTAAACGTTTGACCAGTAGTTTTACCAATAAGCGCACAAAAATCCAAAATGAATCAAATTCTTGTAGCGCGATGCACTACTGCCACTGGGCCGCGCCGCGCATCCGATAAGCTTCCAATAAGCTTCTCGCAACCAACCGGCGAGATGCGAAGGATTGACATCGTGAATCAAATCAAATTCATACTTTAATTTCAGTTTTACTGCCAGCAGCATTTTCAAGTTACTACACCAGTAGAGTCAGTTAATTGAATGTTTAAAACTCTCATTTCAGTTGAAGTTGTGCGACAACATGTTGCACGTGGAGAGAAGGTACTGGTGTGCGCGCCCTCCAACATTGCTGTAGATAACCTCCTGAAGAAACTATCCGCTTCTAATACTGTTGTTAGGTTGGGTCACCCTGCTAGAGTCAATGTGAACCTTCAACAATTTACTCTTGGTAGGTTTATGATTTATTGCTCAGTTTTTGTTGACGAAAGTTTTCGATCGTAAATTGTTGGTCTTCAGTCAACAATGTTTCAACAATGTTTCAGCAATGTTTTATGTAATGTATATTCTAGATGCAAAGCTGAAAAACCTCGACGAAGATAACATATTGGGAGATGTCAGAAAAGACATCGACCAGGCTATCAGAGGTTTTCGAGGGAACAAGTCAGGAAACAAAAGTGGAGACTACCAAAGCAGAAAAAATGTTGGGGAACTCAGAAAAGAGCTGAGGGAAAGAGAACTTGTAAGCTACGGTCTACAAAACTAGCAACTTGGCAATATGCCAACCGACACTTTATTCAAAGTCGACGCACGCCCGACACACATTAAATGAACAATTGACGCACGGTTTACGCACGGTTGGTGCAAAATGGTCATCTGAGTAGCTGACGCACGGTAGACGATCACATGGACCACATACGGTGCGCCAACTGTTCTATCGATGTGTAATATGTATCGACCGTGCGTCAACAGAACATGGAGGCGTATCGTCGGTTGGCATGTTGACAAGTTGCCTATAAATAGCTCAAGTCATCGATATCTCAGGCGGTGGTGACTGAAACATATCAGGAGCAATATGAATATAATTAATTTAGATATCCTTTTACAACACAAAACCTATCCGGCAGGCATCTTAATTCACGAATTGCTGAGTCATGTACATATTATCTCTAACAAGGTGATCATACCCCCCGCAGAAAGCGACAAAGCAAGTTTTAACATCCTCACAAGTAGTGCTGTGTACGCTCACCTCGGCTGGCAAACGCGGACCTCTGGGCAAACTGCCAGATAACCATTTCTCTGTGTGTGTTATTGACGAGGCTAGCCAGGCTTTGGAGGTGAGACCTTAGTAACATGATTTAGTTTTTATGTAATTTTTATGGTGATCTTGTAGATTTATAACTTACCATTAGGCGTGCGCCGAGTTGCTTTGTAACTTATCGATAATCTAATATTTCAAACAAATATTGTACGGGTATCACCTGTTAATGATCATGTAGACATGAAAACGATGTATCTATGAATTATGATCAGCGTTAGCTGACGTTTGATATGAAATCGACAAGTCAGTAATGACGGTATTCAGCCGCAGTCGACCCAAGATAACCCAGTGTAGAATCTTAAGTTATGTTATGAATTAATGTAATGATTCCTGTATGAGCTTAATTTGTACGTGGCATTATATTACTATGCAACTTAATATTTCTCAACAAATTTGCACGATGGCGGTCGTAGCACATACGTACAGAGAGAAACTTTCGAATTATAAATAAGATATCATGAGGTAGTGTATACAGTATACAATGTGCATTAAAGTACATAATATCCTACTTTAGGTAGCCTGTTGGATGGGTATCCTGAACGCAAAGAAGGTGATATTGGCTGGCGACCATCTCCAGCTACCACCTACCATCAAATCTGACAAGTAAAGTTTGAAATTATAACTTGATTCCTTATTCAGTATACTTTGTTTTACTCAAACACTAAACACATAATATACACTTTACATCGCACAAGTGGTACATGAGCTAGGGTAGCTTAGAGTAAGTACTTTGTCATAGTGACATGACCTCATTTCAGATTGAGGAACAAGTATAATCTTATTGTTCTCTTATAATTCTTTGGTTAATGTAATAATGAAGAGATTATTAATAACTAATAATATAATCAGGGCAGCTAAAGAAGGACTTTCCCAGACGCTAATGGAGCGGATATTGAACACAATAAAATGTCCAGATGAAGTTTGCACTTCACTTACCGGTAAGATTTCCGCTATGATATTTTATTAATGTTCATTTCAAAAGCACTTTTCGTGGAAAAGCTTAATTATACACAACACGTGATCATTGACGTGAAATTGAATAGTTACTTACCGCGTTATAATGATAGTCACGTTCAAGCCGCTTCCAAAGTAAAGATATGCGTTTCTCAGAAATCTCGTGACTTAAGTTCGGATATTAATTTGCGGAAAAAAATAATGTGGATCGGATATGATGTTCGTCGCGATATAAAGATATTATTTGGCAGAAGCTTTTTTTTATTCCTAGACCGATTTTTTTACTATTGGGTTTAGAATTTAGATTGATATCTGCTCTTACTGACAGCAAACTGATTATTATACAGGAAACATAAGAGGAAGAGCTTTTTTGTCGAATAAATTTGGGACACGCTCTGAAAAACTATAATATACTCATAGACTATAGAGCCATTTCGAGAATCAAAAAAAGCAAGAGTGAACGAGTGAACAGCGATCAAGTGTACAACCATAAGATATTTATCAGCTAATAACTGTACCAAGATTTTAATTCTATTCTTTTCATTTTGGAATTTGTTTTGTGTGCCCACGCCCTAAGAAATACCATACGCCCCTGAGAAATACCATACTTTTGTTTTCCTCATCTTGTAATCAGGGTAATGCTGTTCCTGTCTCCTTATGATATGTTTTGTTTGGAATTTACATTACAAGTCTAGATAACAATACTAAGACGTGACATAAGTCATATCTATGTCTCCATGTCATAATAAGCTCTAGTCTGTATTATAAATCATGTAGGTATGGCTGTAGGTTATATTAGTATGCAGTATGCAGTAGTTAATATCACCCTAAGACCCTTCCTTACAGTGGTATACTAAACACTGTGCAATATTTAGAGTCCTAAACTGTGGGCAGGCTACACTGAGCTCTTGCTTGTGTTGTCACGAAAGCAAAATTATCGTCCTATAGACTCATTGTTTTACACTGTAACCCTGTACCGGCAGAACAGTACCGGATGAACGAGCTGATAATGAGATGGAGCAGCGAAGAGATGTACGCGGGGAAATTAACTGCACATTCCTCAGTTTCAAGTTAGTTTTTTGGGGACGGGGGATTTAATAAAATTTCTTATTAAAATTACAACGGTGAACTCGATTCTCTCTCCACAGATAAGTCTCCCTTATCAACAGTTACAATGAGAACTATTGGTCAGGTCACGTTTTAAGTGGGTTGAAAGAAGTAGAAAGTACGGAGATAACTACACATCCTCTTTGTTTTGTGGATACTGCTGGATCAGGCCTGTTTGAAACCCTGGTGGGCGTTTCACGTGGAAACAAAGGTTTAAATTATCTTCTTTTTTGTTTTGTTTTTTTTTCTATAGAACCTGTTCCCGGTCTCGTATTGGAAAATAATCCAACTCAATTCTGAGTGTAAATACGGGTGGTGCCTGCAAGGGTTTATCTTCATCTCTATATTTTCTTATTAGTAGATTATAATAGATTTAGAGGATTATATTGTCGGTAGATTTGGCATTAAAGGATTTAATTGTGGCAGTTGATACGTTAATTTATCAAGAGTCACGTGACTTCTCTATGTAAACATCAAATCACCATGATATCTGTGAACCAGGAGAAGCTAAGTTGGTGGTGGAGTATCTGACGAGTCTGAAGGAGGCAGGAGTAAAGGAGGCAGACATGGCTGTTATTACACCGTATAACTTACAGATAGAGTTTATCCGGGCTGAGATGATGGGCCGGTTTAAAGAGGTGAGGTCGTAATCGAAAAATATTTAGTTTCTTGGATTTACACATTTTTGGTATCATTGTATTTATTTTATTTGTATTGAACAGAAATAAAGGTTAACAACTCGATTAATTCAGAACAATTGCTAAACTGTCAATCAATTCAAACTTAAACTAAGGTCTCTACTATCTATAACACGCAGGTCGAAGTTTGCTCAGTTGACGGATTTCAAGGCAGAGAAAAGGAAGCCATAGTTATTACTATGGTGAGAAGCAACGACACCGGAGAAATAGGTGTGCTGATAGTTGATACTTGTGATCTTTTCAATAATCTACTGATACCTGTTGGAAATGCGAATAGATTACAGGATTTAATTTGCAAGTTGTTTGGTCAATGCATTAACCAAAACATGTTCGTAGGTTTTTTGAGTGAATCCCGGCGAATGAACGTGGCAGTGACCCGAGCTAGGAGACACGTGTGCCTCATTGGAGACAGTCTAACTGTAAAAAGAGACGCATTTCTCGGTCGCCTTGTCGCGTATTTTACCCGTCACGGCCTTGTTAAGTCAGCGTTTGAGTACGGGTTGGAAGGTGTTGATGGTAAGTTTTGTAAACGCGTTTGATTATATATGTCAGTAGAAAGCTGACTAATACTCTTAATTTGTATTAATTGGAACACAGTCAAATGATTCTGTAATTTCCTAGTTAATATATTAATGTATTCAATTATACTACTGTAATGCTTCGAATATTCAAGACGTTTATAAAGTTCCGTTTTTATCTTCTTCTCCCCAGAAGAGGAAATAGTACACACGCAAGCTGATTCTGATCCTGAAGAACTAGTCTCAGATAGCAAGAATGCAGTTTCAACTCGGACATTGAAACAAGAGACAACTTTTAAACAAACTAGCTCGAAAAAACTCGAGGATTACAAGGAAACAGATAGAACTGAGGGTATGGCATTTCCGGGTGAGATAAGAGAATTTTTGCGATTCATTTAGATAATTTAAATATTGGAATCTAAAGTCTGCCTTATTTAACTTATCTAAATAAATCGTTACGCCCACCTAAAGACGTACAACCTTGGCTCACAAAAGTGACTTAATTCCGGTGATTTGAAGGACGCACATTCCATCAATCAAAATTTCGAAGTGGTAAAATGTATTCCTAAAACCCTCATTTCCGAAACAAACTAAAGTTGAATTTAATCATTCCAATAAATCACTCAGGACTTAACTCCTACCAGCGAAGGATAATCCACGTTTTGTGCGAAGAGCTAGGATTATTCTCAACGTCTACTGGATCAGGTACATATTTCAGATATCTAAATTTTGATTGAACCAGAATTTTGTAGTTTAGTACGATCACAATCATCGGAAATTTACTATTCTTTTTTCACACTAGGTAATGAACGAATCTTATGTGTATATAAGACTAGTCAAGACACTGAAAAAGAGGAAGAGTTAGTGCAAAGCGAAGGAATTACCTCAGAGGTCTGTTCTCCAAGTAGTGACAATACTGCAGTTATCCCTCCCCCTGTAACTCATAATGGTATGTTTAGGGTTTTTTTTTCTAAATCTTAGGAATTTCATTACCAATTTTGAGAATCAGAAAAGTGGTGACTCGTTACATGATAACAGACACTATTATCAAGTCTTGTTTTTGTAAGTGTGGTCAAAATAATTTTAATCTAAATTATTTTTCAGATGATCCCAACATACCAACACCACTGTCTAGTCTGGTGGTATGTAAACAATGTGGTGCGAGAGTTCCCAAAGCTAACATTGAACTGCACCTGGTACGCTGTAAACCCAAGACCTTTACCACCCCAACCCCAAGTCAGAATCAGAAACGTAATAAATCCGCAGCTAGTGGTAAAAAGGTGAGATACTTTATGATGAGGCTTTTCTCAATCATCTTCAAATTCAATCATTTTATTTTGATGTGATGATCTTTAAACAGAAATTCTGAGCAGTACCATTTGATGACAAGTACTCTCTTCAGAAAAAGAAGGACACTCCCAAACAACCTCAGCCCAGTACAGATGATGACTTCAGTGTACTGGACGATGCAGTCTCATCCCGGCTAGCATGCCCTATTACTGGCTGCCAGAACCCTTGTATCTCCTACATCTCACCCTGTAGATTCTGCGCCTCCTGCCACTGTTCCGAGCATCAGATGCCGGAGGTGCATGGATGTGGGGCGGCTGCACGACGAGACGCGCAATTGCCAGACGCACGTGTCAGTGTGCGCCAGCAGGCCAAAAATAAAACTAGACTGAAACAGGCATTGAAAGACAAACAAAAAGAAAGGACTAAGGCCAAGAAATGATTAAAAAGCTATGCGTTTTTATTTTTGGGTCAAATCATGCAGCAAAATTATTTTAGCATGAGAGAACATAATTTTGTAAGATAACAAGCTTCGGGTTAGTTAACCATGATGTATTTGTAAATTGTTGGTGAAGTATGTAATGAGTTTCTGTTTGTTCGGACGGTACAAGTGTATTTTTATTTGACGTCATTGTTACCAAAACAGTCCGAGGGTTTAAAAAAATCAAATTATCAATAATAAGTTGAAATGAAATGTAATTTTAACTCTCAACGAAGTCAAACAGCAAAGAATGCAACAATCAGAAATTGCACAAAATGACCCTGCAGGTTCGGAAAATTAACGAAAATTAACGTTCTCCTGAAAGTGCTCAGAATTGTACAAAATTGGTCATTTTGTGTGACTATATTTTGTGGGACAAAATTTGAGACACCCTCATATTGGTTCTAGACATGTAGTTATAGTGATTCCCAAACTTGGCTGGAGTGGTCCTACGTTCAACACATACATTTTCCGACCGTTTTTGGTTCATCCGGGCACTTTCAGGAGAACATTCATTCTCTTTCATTCGATGAACCTGTCATTTTGTGCGAATTTCTATAGCTCCTAGGCCCAGCTTATAACTTTATTATCTTATACAATTATGATCGACATTCGACAATTCATGACTTATAATAGGATAGGGCAAATAAACGCATGTCCCAATTTAGAGTTTTGTCCCATGTTTCCAATAATCCGGATTCCTGAATCGAGTAGCTCTAACTATATTAAAAGCGATTATCATTAGTTAAACATCATATTTACGAGTATCGTGTGACATGACGTTTATCGTCTGATAACGAGACGATAAGACGATTATCGTCATTTACCGCGATATTATCGTCGATCGTGTCGCGTGCAATTAAATCGTTGCACGATCAAACTTTTTTAATACTTTCAACACTACTATATAACAAATAATTTGAGAATATGAGTATGACGTAGAAATGTCGATACGTTATTCAGCTATTTATTTCCATTAGAATCTGTCATCACTGAGTCTATTCAGAAACAATCAGAAATTTGAATAAAAGAACTATCAAATCATGAGACTCAAAAACACTACACGAATCCACCAGATCAAACTTCCGAAATTGCAAATGCATGCAACATTTTCCAAGCAACCTGTGCGCAGAACGAACGTGCGTGTTGCCCAGTCTTTAAGCGTTTGGCGATCGCCGCTGTGACTCATTTTAAAATTTGGCGGTTTAATCATGCAAACCTCTCAGGCTCATCATCTAGCACATTCTGTATTCCCTCGTTTTCACTTTTAGAGAATTACTTATTCAGATGTTAAGAAAAATTATGTAAACAAAATGGTCGTGGCTCAATTTTGCACCCTGCAATTGAGATTTTTCGAGTGTTTATAAACAGCAAAGGAACATTCTAGAATTTGATTGGCCTGGAATACCTTAAAACATTCATGTTGTCGCTATAATTGATTTAAACAATGTTACTGAAGTTATCTCCAATGTTTATTTAGTTCGGAGCGCCATTTGTTAAGACTATTAGAAGACTGTTAAACACATCGATAGCTTACTAACCACCATTACTAAGTTATTTCGAATGTAAATTGTAACTATATATATATATTATGCTAAAATGACCATGTTAGAGAAGCTGTGGAGGATATTGTGGCTAGTCCGGGGAGCAATAGAGCATCCTTGTTATTTTAGCTTGACTTTCACAAACAATGCAATTCAGTGTTTTTCTTTATTCATCTGGTGCAATGTAGGTACACTATGCAGGGAGTTAAACAAATATAAACACAATTTAGCAGCTAGAGCAATGTTAGCAAATGTGGCAATATTAAAATGAACATCATAAGTTAAGCAAAAAGACCATATTATGTCGTTAATAAATTAGTGAGGATGAAAATTTGAAATCGTCAAAACTTTTATAAAGTTATAACTCTATAAAACTATCAGAAATTTAAATGAAAGAAACATCTATAAAACTAGAGTACTAAACTTTCCGAAAAGTGGAAAACCGTCATGAGTAAAAACAATCTAAAACTAAACATGACTTGAAACTAAAAGAAAGGCAGTCTCTATTCAACCATATCCAATACTGCGTCAACAACTTTGTTGGCGGAGATACCGAACATGTCCAGAAGTACAGCGGAAGGTCCAGATCTAGGAATTTCACGTACGGCTAGGATCTTGTGTTTTGTGATGAAGTCTGCGTTGGAGAGTACTCCAGCTACAGCCTCCCCAATACCACCTGAGTTAAGGGAAGCAGTCAGATTATGGCACTTACTATGGCACTGTGTATGCTTTAAAAATAACACTTTTGAGAGATTTATTGCTGCAACTTGTAAGGTTGGTTAACTTAAATCTAGAACTCATTGAAATTTGCCAAACCAATTACTCAATTAGGGCCAAATGCAGGGACCCACAAGGTGGCAACATAATGTTGTACACATTCTGAGTTGGTGACCAGGTGTTATTCTAATCATTGATCTAGTAGAGATGAAGTTTCCCGCGAAAAAACAAAAATATCTCAAAATGACAATTATCCCAAAACTTGTTCATGGTTTAGATATGTGCCAAATCACTTTTCTCTATTGGTCATTACATATTCATCCAAACGTTGCAATGTTTATTTTCACACCGTAAGGCAATATGATAGATACTTATATGGGCTATTAGGCGCCACTAAATTTAACAGTAAGCAGGTTTGTCTGACATAATATTCAATTTGACGCGACCAAAGTCGAGGCTGAAGAGACTAGAGAACGCATTTTCTGACCAAGAGAATGAGATATCACAGATATGTTCTATGTTGGTACTTACCCTACATATTATGCAGGGTATGTACCAACATTTACTCTTCAATTCATCAAATTGTGCAATCTGACTCCATATTGCAGCTGATTTTGGTCAAAAGTAGCAAAGACTGGGCTTGGTAAACTAGTGGCATGATTACTGATATTAGTGTAGCGTTAATACTTCCTAATCGCTGAATTGCATTGGCTAACATTTAGTAAAATTAATTTAGTAAAATTAATTTAGTTACCCTCAGCGTAGTGATCCTCCACAGTAATAACACGACCACCGCATTCCTTAGCGTGTTTCAGTACCGCCTCCTTGTCAAGAGGTTTTATCGTGAAGGGGTCCATCACCCTCACACTGGTTCCTGGGGTAACCACGTGATTAACACGTCACGTGATATAATAAGTAAGTCACGTGATCGGTGATAGATTAGAGTGTAATGAAATTACTTTGTAATGCTATACTGCCCAAGAGGTTTAGTTTGTGTGCACTGTGCAGGTTAGATATATGTAAAGTTGAATGAGATTTAGTACCTACATACATGCGAAATGCGAATGTGGGATATTCTCGCATTTTGTTCCGTGATAATGATAATATTCTGGACAGTAATTTATCACTGTGTTGTATAGACAATATGCGGTGGTAAAATTACACCCACCCCATTTACACAGACAATAAGACATGTATCAGTACAACTGCAGTCCGCTCATGATAAAGGAGCAACTATTAACCTTTCTCTAGTAAGGAGCTGTGGGCCTTCATAGCCGAGTCTAACGTAATACCAGCACCAATAACCAGTACCTTATCCTCCGCTGACGTTTTAACAATCTGAACAAAAAGGTGTTTAAGGGTGTTGGTGTTAAACTACAAGCAGAACTTTCGGACTACAAAGGAAAAAAGGCAAGGCTGCCTGGCAGCAGGTGGAATGTGTAGTAAACTGTGCTTTGTTTGACAAAACAAAGCAGGGTGTTGGGTGTTGACATGGGTTATACAGACAGAACTTTTAGTTGATAACAATTGAACTGACACAAAGAAAGTCGTTTTAGACAAAGCTGCAATTTTCAACTTTTGAGAACTCTTAGAAGTAGAAACTTTAACAACTGGCGATAAAGTTTTTCCATTTCTCTGCAGCGAGTGTATCTCATACAGAGCATGAAATGCCACAATATTATTGACCGAATTCTTTAAAATTGTGGCTCCCTTAACAAATTACTCCACCATTGTACTAAAATTACAGTCTAACAAGCCTCACAAAGACCCTCTCACCTTAGCTTTACCAATCTCGAACACCTCATCGTTAGCGTAGATAACAGTTGTGGCAGGGCGAGATGTCCTGATAAAGGTCATGTACTTGTAGTTAGCAGCGAGCTCCACAGCTCGGCAAGCTGACACTGCGTCAGATGGGTAGAAGTAAACCAGGTTAGGGATAGCTCTGAGGATAATAATGTTAGTTTTTATAGTTCAGTTGGGCGTAAAACGTTTTTAAAATAAGTTTAACTGTTATAAAATGATTACAAAAATAACTGCGGAGGAAAACACACAAAACATGTTATGAAGTGACAGGAACCTGAACGCAGCAATATCCTCGAGAGCCATCTGACTGGGACCATCCTCTCCAATGCTCACACCGCAATGAGATCCAGCCATGTTGAGCTGAGACTGGGACACAGCAGCCATCCTGATCTGGTCCATGGCCCGGGTGAAGAAGGTAGCGAAGGTGGAGCAGAAGGGGATGGTCCTGTTACGAGCTCCACAGCCCAGGGAGACTCCAACCATGTTCTGTTCTGCGATGAAACACTCGATAAATCTGTCTGGGAACCTGAGGATTGATGAGCTGTAAGATCATGTGGTTTTTAAAGAACGAGATTGTTTGGGAATATGATAATCGGTGAGTTGAGGATCGTTTGATTGATAAATAGCAAACTGACTTGTTATGAATAAAATTAAAGTTCTGTAGACTAGGAACCGACCGGAAATCCGGCTGAATCCGGTTCCGGCCGGATATCCGGCTTCAAAATCCGGTTCCGGTTCCGGCTCCGGCTGGAAAAAAATTTGCCGGATTTTTGCCGGATTTCAGTTTTTTTTACCGAAAAAAAATCAAAAAATTATTTTCGGCTAATAATGAACAGGGTAGCCTGAATCGTGGAAAAAAAAGTGGTTTTCAGAAAAACTTTAAAAAAATTTTGACTTAGAAGTTTTTCGGTCCGAGTCGTTCTCGAGACGTACCTCCTGTATCGAGAGCTCCCGCTTCCGAGCTCGTGTTGCAAAGGGGAGGCCTGCCTTCCAAGATCACATTACCGGGGGAAACCTCGAGTCCAGAATTGTGTATCGATGGGTAGGTGCGGACTTCGAAAAACCGAAAAAATATTTTCGGCTAATAATGAACAGGGTAGCCTGAATCGTGGAAAAAAGTGGTTTTCAGAAAAACTTCGAAAAATTTTTACTTAAAAGTTTTCGGTCCGAGTCGTTCTCGAGACGTACAGCTCCTGTATCGAGAGCTCCCGCTTCCGAGCTCGTGTTGCAAAGGGGAGGCCTGCCTTCCAAGATCACATTACCGGGGGAAACCTCGAGTCCAGAATTGTGTATCGATGGGTAGGTGCGGACTTCGAAAAACCGAAAAAATATTTTCGGCTAATAATGAACAGGGTAGCCTGAATCGTGGAAAAAAGTGGTTTTCAGAAAAACTTCGAAAAATTTTTACTTAAAAGTTTTCGGTCCGAGTCGTTCTCGAGACGTACAGCTCCTGTATCGAGAGCTCCCGCTTCCGAGCTCGTGTTGCAAAGGGGAGGCCTGCCTTCCGTGATCACATTACCAGGGGAAACCTCGAGTCCAGAATTGTGTATCGAGGGGTAGGTGGGTACTTCGAAAAACCGAAAAAATATTTTCGGCTAATAATGAACAAGGTAGCCTGAATCGTGGAAAAAAGTGGTTTTCAGAAAAACTTCGAAAAATTTTAACTTAAAAGTTTTCGGTCCGAGTCGTTCTCGAGACGTACCTCCTGTATCGAGAGCTCCCGCTTCCGAGCTCGTGTTGCAAAGGGGAGGCCTGCCTTCCGAGATCGCATTACCGGGGGAAACCTTGAGTCCAGAATACAGAATAGTGTATCGAGGGGTAGGTGCGGACTTAGAAAAAACCGGAAAATATTTTGGGCCACCTCCCTGGGCTAGCCCCCGGCTATAATCGCAAAATTGGCAGTATTTAATCTTCTGATTATGAAAACGAAATATGAAGGTCACGTGTTCAGGGTCTGGGTAGCTACTTAATTAGCTCATTACTGCAATCATGTGACTCAGCTCTAGACGCCAGACGGTGATTAGTACTGTACTAGACAGTGCCTGCTTACGAACAACCTTATTAAGCACCTCTGGTTGTAAGTCACGTGACCCAATGATACTCAGACTTGCATGAAAAAAAGGGAATTCGCACAAACGCGCTCAATCAGGGGTCTGGCAGCATATGCCAATTAGATATCATTTCTGATTATTACTCGTCTAGTGTCGTGACTCGTGTCTACTCGTGTTACATTGTGTCTGCTACGTACTGCTTGTTTAAGCAATGTCTAGTAGTAGATAGGAAGATTTGTAAAAAAAACTATATCTGTTCGGACGTTGAAGCCGCCCTAAGTCGAGTCGAGTAGTAGTAAATCTAAAACATCGTCCGTCTGGTTGTTCTACTCAGAAGAAAATGGGATCCCTTATGCAAGCTGCAAGAAGTGCTCGATGAAGATTAGGCGTGGAAAGGAAGGAAATTTTCCAGCAACATCCGGCAAAAACCGGCAAAATCCGGCTGCCTTTTATTTCACTCTGAAACCACCGGTTCCGGTCCGGCAAAATCCGGCTTGCCGGATTTGAGATCCAAATCCGGCTGAATCCGGTCCGGCAGCCAAAACCCCAATCTGGTCGGTTCCTACTGTAGACTGTACTTCTGGAAACAACCGTATCAAAAACTTACACATTCTTGAATTTCAGAGCAAAAGTAGAATTCTTTGTATCAGCATCCAACACCACTATTCTGTCACAAGCCTCACCCAATTTCACTAGAGCGTCACCGTATGCAACTCTCGATGCTATCGATGCTCCTGCAATAATATGTCGTTAAATTTTTTACTCTTTTTTTTTGTAAAAGTAAATTCTATATTCTTTACTTGAAGATATCAATTCAATTCTTAATATTTGAGGTTCTTCAAACTCAAATGAGTAGTAGATACCAAACAGACGTGTGACCATTCTCCAAACTTTACCTAGTTTGTATTCAAGGGGTGTCTTGAAAGCAATCGGTTTCTGCACAAGTTCAGGAGCGTCATCTTTTATCTTAGGTCGAGGTTGTTCAGCTGCACCGTGCATGCGCGCCTTTATTTCACCAAATATCTTCTCTGACAGGTTATTCAGTGCTTTCCCTGCAAATGTTTAGTCAGAAAAAATTAAACTCAAGTAAGAAATAATGCCCGTGCACACTATTGAAATGAATTCTGATGAATGTTTTTGTCGAGCAAAAAGCGAAAAACACAAAATGCAAGCAAGAATCAATTGGAATGAATACTTAACAATGAACTAACCGTGGAAGTCCAGTTTGTCTGCCACATCTGATGAGCCCTGTCCCTTGAAAGTCTTACAGATCAGAGCTGAAGGCTTGTTCTTCACAGACTGGGCTTCTGCCAGCGCCTTCAGGATTTCCTCCACAGAGTGGCCGTCAACCACCATGGTGTGGAACCTGGACAAGGCACGTTGATCATGTGATAAGAGCGGTACATTCTGTGTGGTAACTTTATTAAAGACGTTATCAAATATATTATAAAGCGGTATAAATATATAAGCTAATCTAAACGTGGTAAAGCAGTTGGCTAAACATACCCGAACGCCTCCACTCGTTTCCTGTAAGTGTCCATATTGTGCTGTAACGGAGCTTCCTCGCTCTGTCCCAGACGGTTAATATCGAATATAGCCACCAAGTTATCCAGCTTGTAGTGAGAAGCGAAAGAGAGCGCCTCCCAGATGCTACCCTCAGCAGATTCACCATCTCCAATAAGACAGTATGTTCGGTAGCTGAAACATTAAGAAGATATGTAAATGGAGCATCATGTAGTGAGTGGATGACGAGTGCGATTAGGTATTGGACTATATAATACAGGATATAGTGGACGGATAAGGGACCGTCCGCAAATTACGTTAGCATCATGTAGCGGTTTCTAAATAGCTACACGTAAACCAACTAACAGGAGTAGTCTACTTGCTTACATAGATACATAATGTGACCAGTCCATTAGCATTTTAATATAACATGATCTCAGAAGATGTAAAACCCAAATGTGATATCATCGGTCGATCGATCATCCGGGTAATTGAATAGTGCCATCTATCAGCAATACAGATTTAGAGATGTGTACTGTGTAGGTTTACTAAATAATTTAAAGTTCTTATTTACGTAAAGAATTCTCACCTAAAATAGTTCATAGATGGCACTTTTCAATATAACCCTATGGCCTAAAGTTTACGAACGGCGAAGTACAGTGCAAACTGCAATGCACAGAATATTCAGAAATTTACTTTTCATAAGCGCAAACTATAACAGACATATTGTGCTTAGGTGATTCCGGCCATAATTTTGCATAAACATTAGCTCGAAAACTCTCAAATCTACCCAAAACTTACCTGGCGTGCTCGATGTATTTTCCAACGTAAGCCATTCCTGCACCTACACTAAGACCCTGACCTAGCGACCCAGTAGCGGCGTCAATGAAGTTCAGCCTAGGTGTGGGGTGACCCTCCAGGTCACTGTCAATCTTCCTCAAAGTCATCAGCTTGTCTTTGTCAAACAAACCAGCAGCACACCAAGCTGAATACAATCCTGGAGCAGCGTGACCCTGAAGGTTAGAAATTATCAGAGTTTAATATGGGTGTGTCCTGATCCTGGTCACTTTTAACTGCCAAGGATCCAGATTCCGGATCCTTATCCATATTTTTCATCAAAGCACTCTAGATGACCGAGACCGGAGAAAAAACTCTATGCTCAAATGTAGTCTAATCAAGGTGTGTAATGTACGATTCAGAATTTCATTAGAAAATGTTTACAGACTTGGAAAAATAAATTAATTTCAACCTTGAAGTACCTACCTTGGATAGAATGAAACGGTCACTGGAGGGGTGTCTAGGATAGTCGTTTGAATATCTCATTTCGTTGAAGAACAGCACAGATAGGATCTCTGCAGCGGACATACAAGACGTGGGATGTCTGAAAATTAATTATGTAATTTCGTCATACTTAGCATAACTACAATATTAACAATAGTCATCGTCTCAATATAAATACTTGTATTAATTGAAAAGAAACCAAAATCTAAAGTATTCAACATGTAAATTTAAAGAGCAGACAAGATTATGATTAACTTTCGTAAATTAATTAATATAATTACCCTGATTTGCTGGCATTGGTACATTCAATGGACAGGATCCTGATTTCATTGGCTTTATCCTCAAGGAAGTGAACAAGTTCGTGGCTTGGCTTGTGAGACATCACTGACTATCCTTAACTTAGCAGCTAGATTAGTAAATGATTAGAGAATACAACAGTGAAACAAATTGCTGAATTAAATAAAATAATAGACAGTATCATAGCCGAAAAACAATAAGACAAAAAACTGATGTATAGACCATGTATTGTAAAATTGAGGATATGCTATGAATTTCCACCAAGTACATATAAGTGCTAATTGTGCTACCTATCATCAAACTGACACCCAGTAGTGGATGGGTAGTGTGTAACCTGATGTAACTCACTTTTGCTATAATATGACACAAGGCAACAAAACTATATTTGTCCTGTACAATGATGCAGAGCTGATATCACACATATGAATACTTGTGTATTATATACAAAGAGTGTAATCTTGAAAACATGTGTTAGAGCCATGTTCTTATCATTACACTACAACTGAGTTATTTCATCTAATAAGTAACATCTGAGATTTAATATTCAAATAGAACGATCGTAACTTAGATTAAGCAAATGTTATGGTACAATGTTGAAATCCCAAACAGCCAAAAACTTCAAAGTGGCACACGAAATTTCCATAACACAGATGCTCATCAGTAGAAAAGAACTGTTCTAAATTTTGGTCACAATTTTAAACTGTTGCGTCCACTGTTAAAATTTATCATTTATAATTAACAGGAATAACCATTTTTATGGACAGCAAAACGGCCACCATCAGCAAATCAAAGGTTATTTTCAGGAGTAATATCGGGAATTTCCTTGACAAAGTGGCCAAGATTATTTGTAACACGTCCATGGTAATGAACGTGTGATTGCAGTTTGTTTTTTCTTAGTTTGGTAATTAGATTTCTGAACAAATTTTGCCTCACACCGTGAATCAATTTTCCTTACCAGATAATAAAAGTTTTAAAAACTGGTGCAATTGGTATTTATGAGAATGTTCGAGAGAAGTGGCATGTGGTTGTAATCAAGGGCAGCATTTTATTTTAAACTTTTAAAGGCTCGAAATTAAATTTATAATCCACTCTTTTATTTGTTGAGATTAACTTCTTGTGAAGTTACAAGTGATCCATGTTTATCAGCAGTTGACTAAAAGTTGATTAAAAGTTTTATATCTTATCAGGACGTCTTAAAAAGAAATTAAACTTTAATTCGATGAGGTTCGAAATTTAATCTGGCCTCTCTAAATATACATTTTTGAAAATAGTGTAACCATGGGGCCCGCGGTAAAGATAAGAGGCTGAGGCTAGGCATCCTAGTGGTTAAATCTTCTGTCTTGTGCGTAGCATCCCAGTGTCACCTAGTCTAGGGAGTATCTTAAGCGGAAGCACAGAACGCTATGAATCTGGAGGGCGATATCTAACCCTACCCTAAGCGGTAGGGTTCCCAGGGACCTCTTCTATCCAGTTCATCTACATTGTAGTATACAGTAAACATAATACTATACTAAAAGCCACTAAATTATTGAATAATGATATATATATATATAGGGAAGGGACTTGGAGCCACCCCCCTCTCCTATGGGCCAGGTACCGCGATGATGTGTATGTCCCTTGGACCCATGGACAGGAAATGCTCGAGGAATTCCACTTATGGCTCAATTCTAGAATGCCAGGCATAAAATTCACGTTGAAGGCTTCATTAGAGGGCACTGCATGAATTCTTAGACACTTTTATATACATGAAAGCAGGCCAACTACATACCAAACCTTACAGTAAGCCATGTGATGACCATGCCTTCCTAGTTCCCACCTCTTGCCATCCTACACATACCATAAAAAACATACCATATAGCACTGCACTTAGAATCTTTAAACTTACTTCTGAGCATGATGAATACATACAAGCACGAGCACAATACACAAGCTATCTTGTGGCAAGAGGTTATAGCAATAGCTTAATTAACCAGGCCTTTGATAAAGTGGAAACCAAGAGCAGGCTCTCCTACTATCAACAACAGAGACATAAGGAGGATGACAGTAGCAAAGGGAGACTCACCCCCCCCCCTCATTCCCCTTGTAACAGATTTCAACCCAGGTCTCCCTAACATAAGACGGATACTTAACTCCCACAAGCACATCCTACGTCTAGATCTCGAGCTTTGCAAGGTGATTGACCCTGATGGTATTTTCACCTCTTTTAGAGGGACAAAAACACTTCATGAAATTCTTATTCATAGCAAACTCCCTCCTGTTGAAGAGCCGGCTGTAGAAGATCCAGGCCACGCCTCTCCAGACACAGCTGAGGATTCTGATTCTGGAGGTTGCTTCCCTTGTGCTAAGAAATGTGATCTCTGCAAAAACTTCCTGAAACCATCAACCACAATCGGCAGTTTCCACACCAACCAAGTATTCAGTATCAAAGGACGATTGGACTGTGATACTAAAAATGTTGTGTACATAGTTAATGATAATATTTGCAAGTTAAGTTATATAAGATGTACTTCAGACCCTTTAAAGGTTAGATTTAGGAACCATAAATCCCACATTAAAACCCAAAGAAGGACTTGTGAACTTTCCTGCCATTTTATAGATAATGAGATTTTGCACAATCTTGACCGTACCACCACTAAGTTGTTTACCAGTACTTTAAGTAAGGACATTAATGTTTCGATTATAGAGCAAGTTGACGTTGGGAATTTTGAGCAATGTGCCCAGGATAGACTAAGTATATGTAAACAAAGGGAGAACTTTTGGCAAAACCAGCTTAAAACTTTAAAGCACTTTGGAGGGATGAATGTTAGAGAAGAAAGATGATTTTTTTTCTTGCATATTTTATTTTCTCACCTCTAATAATAATTCCATTAATAATCATTAAAAGTTGCTTTGTCATTTGTAAAATCAAAAACGAAAAGCCCCACGCTGAACGCGCGCGGCATTTTTTCTGCAGCTGCCTAGCTTCAAGCTTGTAGCCGCTAACATAAAAGCCGCCGCGCGCGCCCAGTGCTGGGGTGCATTCTCATTAACAATTAAACTTGGTCAAAGATATTTATATACAATTCCTAAATTAAATCAATAATCATGTTAATATGAGTATTCAACACTACTCGACAACAAATATTTGCCGGCCCATCAACGATTCAGTCGCCGAAACAAAAATCAAATGTTTGCTTTTTCGTTTCGGGGACTGTTTGAACTCAGTACCATATCCGACTAATCACACTTTATAATGGTTAAAATACAAAGTAAAAAGATTTTCCTCGATGGGCCGGCATTTGCAACCGCGAAACGTTTTGAGTACGACAAACGATGACACCACCACCACACACCAGCCGTTAGCGAGAACAAGTGTTACGCTATTTAACTCCCCAGGAAACCTTACTGGCTGGCCGTGTTACTAAAGGTGGTTTAATTTAAACATATGGCTTGATCTCAAATTGATTTGCACACGTGCAGCAGTCAGCACATTCCAATCTTCAAGCAGCCAAGTAGTGTAAGAGGATTTTTTCGAGCTCCGTTTACCCCTAAAATTGGGGCACATTTAGCTTTAGCACAGTTGACTAATCTGCCACATTTTAGCCAGAGGTTACAAGTTCGAATCCCAGTCGGAGTCGTTCTCCAATGTGGTTATATTATTATTTTACACATTTTAGCCTAGTTTAACCCATCAAGCAATTATCTAACCCTACATTATGCGATACAAATGTATCAATTAAATACATTCATCACACAGCAGAAGTCGTTAAATGAATAGTATACACGTTCACGTACAATTACATCAGTTGTCTATCGACATTATTAATATCTGGTTCAAGGCGACCTCTGCAGTACAATGTACTGATAAAGGGATATAGTGACTTATGTGCTAGCTAAATTTAACTAGAGTGTACAGTTTAGTACCAATTGATTGTACCGTCATTTTAAAGTGAAGTTACGGCAACAGCTGTGTTTGTACTTGACAGATATTTGCTTAATTTAAGAACCAAATAAAACTAATATATATATATATATCAGCATAGTATTTTAGTACAATATTGTAGAAATCATACCCGTAAATATTTGCTCGGTATCTGGCAGCAGTTCATCGATTAATGTTCCGTGTTCTGTTTCCTGGTATTTTGTGAGCGGAATATTTTCTTGAGTAGGATAAGATGAAATCCGTCACCTTATCTTACACAATACTGAATACTGAATGAATACTGAATACTGAATGAATACTGAATGAATACTGAATACTGAATGAATACTGAATGAATACTGAATGAATACTGAATGAATACTGAATACTGAATGAATACTGAATGAATACTGAATACTGAATGAATACTGAATGAATACTGAATGAATACTGAATACTGAATGAATACTGAATGAATACTGAATACTGAATGAATACTGAATGAATACTGAATGAATAATGAATACTGAATGAATACTGAATGAATACTGAATGAATACTGAATGAATACTGAATGAATACTGAATGAATACTGAATGAATACTGAATGAATACTGAATGAATACTGAATGAATACTGAATGAATACTGAATGAATACTGAATGAATACTGAATGAATACTGAATGAATACTGAATGAATACTGAATGAATACTGAATGAATACTGAATGAATACTGAATGAATACTGAATGAATACTGAATACTGAATGAATACTGAATGAATACTGAATGAATACTGAATGAATACTGAATAATACTGAATAATATACTGAATACTGAATGATAATTTTGATGTATTATTTTTTAAGTTATAATGTAGACAAGGAAACACACGTTTAGATTTTTGAAGATAACTTTAACTAAACTATATTCAATAACTCTATATATCCAAATACTTATCTCAATAATTATCAACGTTTTGGTTATAAAGTTCAAGAATCTTCCTGACGATATATTTGTGAAAGTTTAAGAAGCTTGATGATAACATTTTTGTTCTCGTTCATTAGTTTGTTGACATCAGATAGACTAGTAGTCGTGATAACTGCAGTCAAAAGAGCTTGTTCTTCCATACTTAAAATTGTGGCGATGTCTTGTCCACAGTGAGCGTCAACAACTGCAAGTCCT